ATCACAAAACAGTCGGGTCACTTTCATTTGTTTTGGTCATTTTAAGTTCAAATCATTTTTCTGGAGGTTCCAAACACTAAGGTTATTATGTGTGACTTTGCAATCCTGCAGTGGTACTCTCTAAAAAATGCTGCATGGACAACAATGCTCGCCTTTTAGTTATCGCCTCGTCTGAGAATCCTTTCTTCAAATTCACAATTTTTCCTCTTTAAACATTTATTTCCACGCCTTTGTAATCCTAAGGTTGTTCATCAGTGAGGATGCCTGCTAAGAAGCTCAGTGACGGAAAGGCCTGCTGTGCCATTTGATCTTCCTCTCTTTACACTTGTCAACTTCCTGACATGCGTCTCTTTTGTGTAGATAAAATGGTACAACCTGTGTGTGTGTGTTTCCACTTGAAAGGTTGTCGGTCAACTGAAGGTCATCAAACGTGCGCACGTGTTGCATGGGCCCGTGTGTTTTTAAGTGGCGGTGTTAAGTTCCAGTCATAGCTACACTTGTGTACGTGCAGTTCAAGCCTGAGACTATTGCTGTTACATCACTGTCCTGTTTGACCAGCTGTTGCACATGACTTGGCTTCTGGGAATGGAATCTAAAGTGTGTGTGTGTGTGTGTGTGTGTTGCCAACGTCTCCTGGTAGTTTCTGTGTTAAGGACTCGTACTGCGGTTGTGTTTCCGTCAGTGTCAAGTTAGGAAGTGAATTTCAAAATAAAGAAAAGATACAAGCAGGACATCAGTTCCTCATTGACTCGGTTACAATGGTTGCATTCACACAGCTGACCGTCTGTGTTTTGGCTACACAGGTTCACTTTGTGGCTGTTGGGAAGAATCGTTATCTTAAGTCTCCACTTTTTGAAAATTAAATGACGACATGCACAAACTATTTTGTAAATGTTCTTTCATGGAAAATGTTGAACGCAGCTCTCTCGATAATAAACATTTACTAATATCACTTTTCTCCAAACCTGTAACAGAAATGTCCTGCTGTTAAAACCTTTAAAACCGTTTTGGACACGAACCAGCAGTATGTCAATTCTACCTATCAAAAAGAAATAAGCGTATCAACAGTGTTACCATCTTGCATCACATTGGCATTGCATATTTCCTTATGGTGCCCAAATATGTGATGTCGAAGTGGTTGAGCACTTTCAAAATGCATCACTTCACAAACAGTAGAGTAGTTGCAGTACACGGTTTGGATACAGGCTACGTCTGATCCACAGTAAGCATCGTATACAGTCATAAACTGACTTGAGAGTACACAGCACACACGGAGTATCAACACGACTACATCCTAGTCGTCAATAATTCACTGCAGCCTTTCAATCCGCCGAGCAGCTCTTATCGCAGCGCTGCTTGTTATCTCCCTCCACAGTGATGAAGAGATCGCAGGGATAAGAGGCACAACGTCTTGAAGCTGCATTTGTATGGACACCATCACTTTGGGATGAATATGTATGCTGGGATAAAAAGTGGTTCCTAGTGATGCAGGACGATCTAGAGTTTAACCTCCAGATGACATGAAAGTGCTCACCTTATCTGGATGTGTTTTTCAGAACGGAAAAGAAACGATCTAAAATGATAGGCCAGATTCAAATCTTAAAAAAGAATATGCAGGAGAAAGTGTTTACCATGTACTTAAGAGTAATGACATTACTGTCTAAATAGAGTTGTTTAGACCTCAGCTTTGTTTTCACCTCACGTCTCATATTGTCTTTGACGGGTAACTCGACTTCATTATCTCCTTGTTCTGTCCTTTTGCTGTCATGGGGGAAACACTCAAAAGGGCAACAAGTAGAGCCACCGCAGCTGTGGGACTTTGACTCCCATATGATTTACAACTGCAGAAGTGTCACTCATTCTATCCCTTTGTATATATATTATTAAAAAGTGAACGGGACATCTCTGATGCAGCTGCAGGCAGTTCACTTGGTCTAGGTTACAATCCGTTAGTTAGAATTTAGTTACAAATAAAATAATGAAGTTGGTACTTTAAAATTGGCTTATAAAGTGGCTTCCTAGCAGCATTCTGACATCCTACACTAAACAATGTGGATGTGACCTTGCTGCTTCTAAAGCAGGTGTTTATTGGAGATAAAAAATCATGCCATACAATGTTGACGTTGTGTTTCTCTCCCTTGCAGACATGCGGACGTGTCGTGTGAACGAGTTCAGCTGCGGAGCGGGCTCCACTCAGTGTATCCCCACCTTCTGGAAATGTGACGGAGAGAAGGACTGCGACAATGGAGAGGACGAAGTCGACTGTGGTGAGTGGACGTGCATCCTCATATGGGAGGGATATTTGACTAAATGTCTACAAGTTGTCGTTCTAAAGGTGACGGTGCACGTCAAGGTAGAACACTTCTAAATACCTGTAAGTTGAGATCTGAGAAATGACAAACATGTGTGTCTGTAGATCAGGAAGTGAGTAGTAAATATGAAATATCTTTTTAGCTGTAAGGAGATCTGAACCGGTTTTTCCTGTCGACGTGTTGGATGCACAGCCAATATTCTGTAGACGCTAGACTCTTAACATCTTCTCAAAATGGTCCAACCTCATAATGATGAGCATTACATGCCCATTTAGGTAAACACAGCGGCAAAGCTAATGACAAACGTTTAAGAGTCATGTCGCCTACAGTCTCCCACCTACAGTCTATATCCATCTGTTATGCCCTGTGATTCAAGCGGTGGAGCTCTGGCTCACATAACATCCTGCTGTGACTTGTTTATTCCTCCATGTCCTGCTTTTTGTTTGAATGGATGAGCCCTTTTGGATCAAATACTTATTGTGACCTACAATGTGGTCAAAGGCTTGTTTCTGACCTCGAGTTAGCAGTAATTGCCTGAAGCTTCTTTTAAACAATTGACTTGCCTGTTATGGGATACAGGGAGTCGCAATACTGCTGCCCTCTAATTTATTTGTTCCTAGAAAGAGGATTTGATGTTGCCTCTCATTTCAAATGTAGAAACAGAATTGTTGCAGTGAGCGTAATTCCCTGTAGCACCTGATAAACTGAAAGTTCAATCACATCATTGAGGACTCTTAAACTCCTATTATGGAGTTGTGGTGCCGGCCGTCTGCCTCATTGAATACTGCAGACTCCTAAAACCTGGAAATGAGTTGGAATGTCACCGCTTCAGGTTCTCCTAAATGTATGGGGTTTTCTTTTATCCCTTTTTCAATAGATGCCCGAAATAAGAGTCACGTTTTGGTCCATGACTTTTTGCAATGCTCACTTCTGCGTCAGTCTACAAGTATACATCATCACCGCACTACTCTATTGACAGACAACTTTATGCACAAACACAGAAGCCTGTTGAGGAGTGTAATGTTTCACAACTACTAGTGTAACAGCTTGGTCTGTACTAGCACATGTGTATGAATTACTCCTCATCCTCCAGCTGTTTGTCCTAAACGCTGCATCACAAACACAGCACCAGCCTTTCACGCAGAATGTCGCTCTGCCTGGACAAACTATAAACTAAAATAATTGGATCTGACAGAAAACAGAAGCAGCCTGTAGCATGTTAGTCAATTGTATCCATCCATTTATTTCCTGCCGCTTATCTGAGGCTCTAGCAGCAGCTCAGCAGCGAAATCTACTTCAAAATAAAGTGACGAATAATCACTAATGATGATGAGCATTGGGTTTCCACTGCTGACGATGCAAGATGTTAATCACTACAAATATGACGCATCCTCAGTCTATACCAGGCATGCCAATTCTGAGTGAGTACAAGGAGCGGTATGAGGACTGATGCCAGCGCTGGGCTAAGAATGTGTGCATCTAGTGTGTAGGGCTGCCAGCGATTATTCGTTAGTCTCCATAATCTAAATTATTTTAAAATTCGATTTATATATTTTTTTATTATTTATGTTTGTTTTTTTCTGGCTTAGTTTCAACCAAAATATAGACTAATGCTAATAATACTAATAGTATTAATAATTGTAAATGGCCATTGGTCACACCACCAGTTTGTTTTACTGTAAACTTGGAGGAAGCCAGCAGCGCAGAGGGGGGGTCGAATAATCGATTATTATTCACCAGGGCTTTCCGATTTTCGATTTTGATCATGGTCAGTTTCTGGCATCCCTACTAGTGTGCACCGTCCCCTCTGGCTGAAGATGCTAATCACTGAAAGCTGCTTAGAAGGAGGAGACGTGTGTTAATTGTCTTCACGTTAAATCTCTCTAGCGGATGTTTTGTGTAGTGGGATGCAAGGTTTCAGTGACTTTAACCTCACATGCTTCCTTAAGCTGCCACACATTGCATCCTTCTGCCATGTTCTACTCCTAATGTTAGGAGGAGGAGGTTTTATTAGGGAACGCAGTGCAAACATGCTAGTTTGAATATGTCTGGTATGACAACAAGATTAAAGATGTTATTTACCTGAAGTGTGCTTTCAGTGTGAAGTCTCCTCACTGTGAAGGTCTTTACTGCGTTTGCTGTCGTGCTCCTGTTCCTCCTCTCCTTCTGATCAGTGGGCGGTGATTGTGTGGAGAGCGAGAGATGGCATTGAAACACTCTGCGCTCTGCTAACGTGTTGCATTTGCTACTACTTGAAAATACTGACATTCAAACGTTGGGTTAGGAAAAGACTGATTACTGCTATGCTGATTGATGCTGTATAAAATGACTTCTTGAGCTTGTAGTAAATAAATGTATTTTCTTTTGAGCGACTGAGCTGTTAAGCCTCACACATTCATTCCTTCTGTCCTCCAGGTAACATCACCTGCGCTCCAAACGAGTTCACGTGCTCCAGCAGTCGCTGCATCTCCCGTAACTTTGTGTGCAACGGCGAGGACGACTGTGGCGACGGCTCGGACGAGGTGGAGTGCGCGCCGTCCTCCTGCGGCCCCAGCGAGTTCCAGTGTGGAAACTCCTCGTGCATCCCGGCCAGCTGGGTGTGTGACGACGACGTGGACTGCCAGGTCAGAGGAACAAAATAAAATGCCACACATTTAAGAAAGTTTAGAGGGAAAAGACACAAGTTGTGGACAAGGTGCATGGATAGAGGAAAGCAGTTTGAGTCTCTTGTGTCCTCAGTTTACCAGTTTACCATTGCCGCTGTATTTGTATGTGCATTTGGTAAAGCCTCTTGACTACTGTCCTCCCCTCCGAAAACCACTTAATGTGATCAATGATTCTATGTTCTGCATCTTTTTATAGCTGGGATTTTTCTGATGCCTTTTTTTTTATCACAAAATACTTAATGCTGTCACACACACAAACACTTCCTCTTATTTTCTCTGCAGATGTTGCCTCACTATAATGAACTGTCCGTTGTGAGATCCCTGGGGACACGTTACACACATACACACCGGTTCTACAAGTTTAACACACACGGTGACTTTGACACTCCCAACACAGCAGAGCCAGTTTTACCGAGTCTGCAGTTTGCCCATTTGCTGCTAATCGGCTGTGTGGTTATCGCCGTGGCAGCCGGAGCAGGAGAATGGAAACGGTGTTGCATATACTCACACCCACAAATATTTAAAATACTTTCTTCAAATAGAAGGTCATTGTTATTCACTCTGCTGCTCTCTCTCACCCAGCCCTTCCTGTGTCACAGTTAATAGTAAGAGTGCCAGACACACAAAAGCACACAATCTGGGTCTCGCACTCCGTTCATCTGCTCCCACGGGACTCAGTGACTTTCTGAGCTGATGTAAGTGAGAGAAATCCTGTCTGATTGCCCGGGTTTGATTCCTATTGGTGCTAATCGTCTGTGAGATCAGCGTCCTTAAAGCTCCATCACTGCGGCCCTGCTCATCAGATCATCTGTCAATCAATGTTTCACACAATTGTCAACTAGTCAGCACTTAATTGTCGTAGGTTAATTGTTTGTCTGGAGAATGAAAGACTCGTCTCATCCCTGCAAGGAAGCAGTCGTGTTGTTACTGCAGTCTCAATGAATCCTGCTGGTTTGAGCCAATCAGATCAAGGCTCATTTCTTAACAGCCTCTCAAAGACTCTGCTATTAAGTTGATCATTGGAGTTAGGTGAAGAAAAAATACAAGATGTGTCTTCTGCAATTAATTTCCTCGATTACTTTCTGGGCAATATTGATGAAAATGCATCTGTGGTGAATTCCCTAGTGGACTATTGTGTCTTTGCTTCGATTGCCTGATAATGAAGTTGGTCTTTACTTGGTGGCTGATATCTGCAAACAACTAAGTCAGGAGAGCCAGCCTGCTACATTTAAACAAAAAGGGAAATGTGTGTTAAAAAGCTGTAGAAGGAATGCTCTCCTTATTCTTACTGGAGTCTATTTTCCCCAGATAACATAAGAGGAAAGCTGAGTTAAATATATCTTAGTCATAACATTCAAGATGATGTAAATCTTCAGGTTGACAGATTCATGAATGGTTGTTTTTTAAAATATGATTATTTCCCTTTACCAAGGCTCAGTGCAGTGACTCCAAAAGCTGTCTGGCAAAGTAGAACATCAGCATTCAGATTGTTTTGGATAATCAAAGTAAACGCATACACAAATATATAAGTGAAATGAATTCAGCCTTGATTTCGACCTGTGTGTTTGTATTCTGTCCCAACATGTCTGTTCAGTCAGAGGGCCTTACCACATTAAAACGTCACATGCTACAAAATTGCTCTTAGTTTTTCCAAATGCTTTTAAAAATTGATAAGTGAAATGGCAGGCTCCCTGCTGGGAAACTGCCAGCTAGCAAGTGTTGATGACAGCGAGTGAAAAGCAAGTTGAACACTTTTACAAAATGAATGTGGGCTAAAACACGGGCCAAAAGCTGTAAACTCAAACCAAGAAAATGTCTGTCCTTTGCAGGATCAATCCGATGAGTCTCCCTCTCGCTGCGGCCGTCACCCGACGCCGCCCGCCAAGTGTTCGACCAGCGAGATGCAGTGCCGCTCAGGGGAGTGCATCCACAAGAAGTGGAGGTGTGATGGAGACCCCGACTGCAAAGACGGCAGCGACGAAGCCAACTGTCGTATGTACACACCAGCTGGCAACACATAAATAAACAAGTTAACATCATAAAACATTTGTTACCACAGCACGTGGGTAAGACTTCTTAAACTGTCAGTTTGTATCCGTCAGATTTAGTTACTGACCTGCTTTTTCCAGCCTAGCTTTAAGATTACCAAGGCAAATAAAAGAGTTTGGGATGTGTCACTGAAATCAAAGATATGCATCTTTATCAATTACTAGGAAGTTGATCCTATTGTATAATGTATTGTGAACCTGATGAAACATCTGTTTTTGAGATGGACTTGAGGGTATAAGTTGTAAAACCTAGTACCCTGTGTGTTTTATCTCTGTCTCAAAGTCAAAAACCCATAAGAATTCTATTTAAAATGACTGAAGAAAAGCACAAATCCTCCCACTTTAGAAGCTGGAGCCAGGGAATGGTGCCTTCTTTAAATCATATTTATCTTAAATTGCTATACCAGTATTAAAAATGATAGTTTAGAATCAGAATACCTTTGAGAGGGGAAATGTACGTTGTTACAGCAGAAAAAGAGCCAAAGACGGCTTAATGTTACGTAGAAGCATGCATAAAAAAGTATTAAAGTTATAATAAAAACATACACATCCTGTAACAACATTGATTTTATTGCTTGAGTTTATCTCAATCAACACATAGAGGAATGTTTCAGCACTACTTTCATGCATAACTCAAGTGTGTGTGTGTACGTGTGTGTCCTTGGCAGCTGTACGGACGTGTGGATCGGATCAGTTCAAATGTGACGATGGAAAGTGTGTCCTGGGCAGCAGGCAGTGCAACGGCCTCCGAGACTGCGCTGACGGTTCAGACGAGGTCAACTGCAAAAACAGTAAGTGCTCTGTGTGTGCAGCTTTACAAATAAACGTTATAAATGTCAGGGGAAGAAGAACTGTGCTTTCGGGTCAAGTCATGTTGGGAGAGAGCGTCTGAGGAAAGGGTCGGTTTACCTTCACAATGTCCTTTTTCTTCCATCTAGACCTTTTTGATTTTTCAAAATTCCTCCTTTGACTTTCATGTGGGTCAGAAGAAGAGAGTGGGTACTGGTGTAGCTGCATGTATTTTCCAAGTGGTTTTCATCCACTTCATGTTGTGCTCAGCGTGTGTGTTCACTGTGTGATGTGTTTTGAAAGCTTTTTTACGAACAATGCTGTGTTGTGTTTGTTGATGGAGAAGAGAAATGAATCCTTCTGGTTATCAAGTTTACATGAGTTTTTGTTCTGTCTCCAGTAGCATACACCTTGGCCTTGTAAACACATTAGTTATGGAAGATTGTCACTAGATGCTGAAGGTGGTTGTCACCTTTTGAAAATGCAGCTATTTGAGGTTCCTATAGCTGTGGGGAGAAAAGGGCTTTAGGGGTTTAAAACCTTTTCAAACCTATTGAGGTTATACTTTGTTACAGAATCCTGTTTTCCCACGCATTCGACCCGGTCTATTGTCTGCAGTCTGGCTTTCTCAAGTTCAAATGGAGTTTAAAAGCTTGTGGAGCGTTAAGGAGAATGTAAACGCTTAAAGAACTGTTGGACATTTTGGGAAATGTGGCTATTTGCAAGAAAGGAAATTGTGTTGCGTATAGAAAGAAAGTTGATGCCACTCATCTTGGTATCAAGTACTTCGATTGATCCACTGGGTGCTTAGCTTAGCTTAGCATACAGACTTGATGCAGGGTGAAACTGCTAGCCTTGATCTGTTTAAAACCAAAAAGTAGAGTCCTGATATGAAATGATGCATTTGCAGCTTTCTGGGTAATTGGAAGTTTGTGTAAGTATTAAAGTACGCTTGTAAAGTTCTTCGTATCCCTCCACAGTGACTCAGTGTAACGGACCAGAGAAGTTCAAGTGTCGCAGCGGGGACTGTATCGAGATGAGCAAAGTGTGCAACAAAGCCCGAGACTGTCCCGACTGGAGCGACGAACCCATCAAAGAATGCAGTGAGTAAAAAAATACTTGTATTGCACTGGAGTCTGTTAATATGAAAGATCTTTTAGGCTGAGCTGTGACCAACCCACAGTGTGTCTGTCTAGCGGAATCTGCAAATGTCCCTTGTTAAAAAGTCTCTGCGTGCTTCCCCTCCTGGCAGCTCTTAATGTCAGCAACGTGTTACTGAACTACAAATACTCAAGTTTGGTTTCCCAGAATAAAAACAAACCAAAGCGCAGAAAGAAGATTTAACATTTAGATTTGTCTCGACAGGCCACTCAGTCACTGTTTACAAGACAAATTGCTTTTCAGGGAGTACATCTGATGACTTCCCCTCTGGGCAGGGAAGTGTCCGTACTTTGAAAGATGCGAGTTGAATTTGGGCGAAAAGGCTAAAACTAGAGGACATTTCTCACTGTCCAAATGGATTTATCTGATGTGTGTTTTCTGCCTTTAATGTGTCCTGCACTTCAGCGCGAGAGAACGAAAAGTGCTTTCAAATAATGCTCTTTCATGGATCAAACAACTCGGCCGATCGGAATTCTAAACGTCTGTTTTACCACAGCTCAGGAAAAAAAGATTGTCATATCGTGTAAATGATAAATTGAATGAAACCAAATAAAAGCTCCCTCTCTTGCTTCCAGTCTAAACTCTGAAGACCTTAAAAGAAGAATCTTGATGTAACATCAACTGTTAACTATTTAGCTACAGTTTGTGTCTTACTTCCATGATAACTGTCCCTGTTTAGTTACAAAGCCCGTTTCCTTCATGTGCTTCAGACCTCAACGAGTGTCTCCTGAACAACGGCGGCTGCTCTCACATCTGCAAAGACATGGTGATCGGCTTCGAGTGCGACTGCACGCCTGGACTTCAGCTCATCGACCACAAGACCTGCGGAGGTAGGTCACCTGAACACTGGAGCTTTTTGACGAAATATTTTCACTGTCAAACCAAATATATTTTGTACTAGGGATCTCAACGATTAACTGGTTGCGACAGAGAATATCTTTTAGCAGTTAACATGTCTTTTCCAAAAGAAAAGTTATTTTAATTTTGCAAAATAAGGATAATGCTTATATGTAATCGATAGTCTGCAACACTTGAGTTGTGAGGAAGCATACTGTCGGATGCATATGGAATGACTTTGAGTTGGATAGTGTGAGAAGATTGAATGGTTGCTTTATTGAGGCGCGTTTACTTTCTTTAATTACGCTCTGTATTTGGCAGCCTTTATTTTTTGTTTCCCACAGGTTATTAATTTACTTCATGTGAAGTGTAGGCTACCGTAGCAACAGATTCAACAGCCTTAACCTCAGATATAAAATAAATCCCAAATGACAAAGATCTTGGCAGGTTAATGTCCTGGATGGTTTGTTTAGACTGAGGTGTGTTGCTATGTTTGTCCTTCTTAGAAACTACAAATCCAACAGGCTTGGTCACACATACTTAGGGCTGCAGGTATTTCACTTAACTGTGGTACATGTTCATACTTTGCCCTTCTGTCCTTCAAAGGCTTTAGTGTGCACTGTGATTGGCTGTTGTAGCTTAGTATTAAATCTCTAAATCCTCTTGATTATATTCAGGAGTCTCTGTTCCAACACTTGTGTTATTGAGCCAGACTTGGCACGAGCACTCCTCTGGATATTGGGAGGTGTTTAATCCCTTCTGGAGTGAAAACACTGGTTGCATAGTTCTCTTAATTGACTCCCAGGTACAAGATAACTACTCAATCATCTGCCTATTAACATTTCATTCTGACGAGGGCAGTTGCTAAAACATCCATAGTGATTATATTCTGTATATCCCAAGCTCACATTAGTTTCCAATCTCATGCAATAGATATCATGGGACTGTTTCAGAAGGTAATTGTTTTCAGAGCTGTGTGCAAACGACTGATTATCCAAATGAAATCATTCAGCAGACGTGATTCAACAACTAGTTTCTTCCTCACCCCTCTTCTCTTCATCCCTCTCTCCATGCAGACATCAACGAGTGTATGAACCCCGGCATCTGCAGTCAGATCTGCATCAACCTGAAGGGCGGCTACAAGTGTGAGTGCCACAACAGCTACCAGATGGATCCTACTACCGGAGTCTGCAAGGCTGTTGGTGAGTGAAAAGAAAACTAGGGAAGTGGATTACAAATATGTACAAAGATATAGTTTGTGAGCTGTTTTTTATTCATTCAGAAGCAATGATGTGAGAAATGTTTGGTCCGTTAATTGATTAACATAGACAACATCTATAATGGGTTCCTACAAAAACAATTATGAGATGGGCTGTTGTGTTTGACTGCTTTAGTTTGAAATAAAATGCACTCAATCGAGCGCAGCTTTCCTATCATGCACAAGGTGTGGGAAATGTACCCATGATGTCCTGTAAAAATGCTGGGTTATAATATAACGGGTAATTTATGGCGATGGCCTGTCACTGCACTGTCATAGAGATCAGAAGCTCCCGAAGTCTATTTCAGTCTGCAAGGTTAAGCTGGGTCAGAGTACAAGTTTAAATTATGTCGGGGGAATCTTCCCGCTTTAGAAACGGACTCTTCTTGAAATAAACATTGTGAATTTACGAGGCTGGTCAAATTCATATTTGAATGGAGGGGCCACTTCTCTTGGTTACCCCACTCTATTCACTTTGAGCATCGACTGTCCTTATTCACAACTCTTTAATCACATATCAACAAATAGTTTCTAGCTTTTAAAGAATGTATGATAAGTATTTCTTGAAGGAGACCTGCAAGTCGTGGTTTTATTTTACTTACATTTTGAGTTATGGTGGAAAATGTAACCATACATTGATGTGGTAGAAATATAATAAAAAATAAGCTGTTAAATATCATGAGGCTGTAGAGTTGTCCTGCTGCTGGATACAGAGTCATCTCTAGTGTGATCACATGCTGCTGTAGAGTTGTCCTGCTGCTGGATACAGTCATCTCTAGTGTGATCACATGCTGCTGTAGAGTTGTCCTGCTGCTGGATACAGTCATCTCTAGTGTGATCACATGCTGCTGTAGAGTTGTCCTGCTGCTGGATACAGTCATCTCTAGTGTGATCACATGCTGCTGTAGAGTTGTCCTGCTGCTGGATACAGAGTCATCTCTAGTGTGATCACATGCTGCTGTAGAGTTGTCCTGCTGCTGGATACAGTCATCTCTAGTGTGATCACATGCTGCTGTATTGTTGATTGTGTCGCTCTTCGACAAAGACCATCACTGTTTGTTTCCGCATGATGTTTTGTTTTCCAAGTAAATTGCATAACGTTTCTATGAGCCGTTATTCATAATACGATTCCTCTTCTATCACACATAATTATCTCTTCAAAAATGATACCTAGTTGGACGTTTAACTGAGAAATGGTAGTTTCTGTTCAGGCTCATCGTTTGTGACATAGAAGCCCTCACACCTTAATAACATACTTTAAACATTTGAGAGATTCATTCATTATGTCATGTGATGATCTCCAACATCAGCAAGTATAACGGAGCAACCAGATGTCCATTTTGAAGACCTAAATTGTCAGATTGAGCTTCTCCTCCCTGTCCTCAGGTAAGGAGCCCTGCCTGATCTTCACTAACCGCAGAGACATCCGCCGCCTCGGCCTGGAGAGGAAAGAGTACACTCAGATCGTGGAGCAGCAGAGGAACACCGTGGCTCTGGATGCTGACTTTGGCCAGCAGCTGATCTTCTGGGCTGACTTAGGCCACAGGGCCATTTATAGGTAGATTTTACACACACACACACACACACACACACACACACACCAGACAGCCGCACAACACCATGTGAAGAAAAACAACAATGCACAATAATCTATTTGTAATTATTTCCAGAAGATCTGATTTCAAGTCATCATTAAAAACTCACCTGTTCATCATGGCCTTTGACCCCTAACCCATCGCAGTCCCCCTGCTTCCACTCCTACTGCTATTTATTAAATGTTTTACTTTATTTGCCTGCCCCGTTTGTTTGTTTGTAAAGCGGCCTTGGGTCTTCATCTATTATTATTTCAACAGATTAATTTCAAAGTACATTTAAACTTAACACTTATTTTCTTTTTCAAATCAACATGTTTAGGTATGTTAGCAGCCTGGTTTTAGGGTTTTGCCATGAAAAGTGGAACAGATATTCATGGTGTCCAGGGGATGAACCCTCTTAGGTGATCACAGTCTGTTTCTGTCCAGAAAATCAAAGTGGTCACTAATCCTGTGAAATATCTAAACATCTGTTCGATGGCTAGCCATGAAATGCAGAGCACTCATACATGGCCCCCTCAGGATGAATAGTAATCAATTTGATGATTTTCAAACTTTTCATCCTGGCCCTTCAAAGCTAATGACATTCAGTCACAGCTGGACTGTCAAGTGCTAATTAGCAAATGTTGCTAATATGCTAAATTAAGACATGTTGGCATTTAGCTCAAGTTTAGCTTTAATTGCCACCAAATGGTGCTAAAGGCATTTGCCTGATGGTTCATGGGTTTTTCTGTTATATGGCCAACTTGGATGTAGAGACTTGATTGAAGAGTTTTACCTTCATAACATTCATCTGCTACTTTGTAATTATGTATCTAATATATTATTCCAATAACTTGTATATAGACTCGTATTGCACTATTCCACTTTTTATTTTCCTCTTTTAAAACGATTTTTCTTTTTTGTATTTTAATATAATATACTTTAATATTGTTTTAATATTGTCTGCGTATCTGTATTATTGTGTTGCATTGTTAGAGAATCCTGTGACCTAAGATTTTCAACGACATAATTACTCTGTAGCTATGTTAGTTTGACAATAAAGAACCTTGAACATATTGTGGCCATGTGACTATTATTAACCCCAAACCTTTTGTTCCTCGCAGCACTGTGCTGGACAAACGGGGCGACGTCGGCACTCACAACAAAGTGATCGACAGCGTCCAGACTCCTGTGGGCATCGCTGTGGACTGGATCTATAAGAACTTGTACTGGACTGATCTCGCCACCAAAACCATTTCTGTTTCCAACTTCAACGGAACCAAGCAGAAGGTTCTGTTCAGCAGAGGCCTCAAAGAACCAGCATCCATCGCCGTGGATCCACTGTCCGGGTGGGTGGGAAGTCTTTATGTCACGTCAAAGATATTTTAATCTTCAAATGATAATGTGCATTTACTTTTGTATTCATGTCTTGGTCCTGTAGGTTTCTGTACTGGTCTGACTGGGGCGAGCCGGCCAAGATTGAGAAGTCTGGGATGAACGGAGCTGATAGGCAGGTTCTGGTGGGGACGGACATCCAGTGGCCGAATGGAATCACTCTGGGTAGGCACACACACACACACACACACACACACAGACACAGACACACACATACACATACAGACACACACAAAATTCAAATGTGCTTAAACACATTGAGTAGAGTGCAGTGGAGTAGAAACCCCTATATTGGAAATACTCAGATACTATCCATAGTACAAGTACCTCGAAATAGTACTGAGTAAATGTACTTCACCACTGCACACACACCCATGAATGTGTGTCTACATCATCCCTGCATATTTTCCTTCACTGTTTTGCATCAAAAGAAAATGAAAATCCACTGTTAGAAAGCTGCTCTGAAGCTTTAACACACTCTTGTGCCGCAGCACGACTGCAACTGAAATGCCTTTGTGTTTTATCTAACACTCGGAGTAATTGCAGTGTGAATATTTGCAGTGATTACAATTCCACTGAACACTTTCTTGTCCCCTTATCTGACACTTCACAAGCAATGTTAAAATGTCCTCATTATGATCAGTTCTTCCTGTCTTCGACTGCCATGTATTATTCCTGTTTTTAAAACCTTACGAATGACTTTTCCTTTGAAGATGAAGCCTTTTCTAGTTTGAATTTGCATGCTAAGGTAGCACTTCCCTCCCATCCTGAGATAAAAGTACTTATAAAAGGAATAAACAATACGGCCTTGTCAGGTAATCCAATTCCCTCCTCGTTGATTTGATCATTATATTATCTAATAACACCTGAGCAGATCGTTTAATCACAGGCTCTCCTTTTGTTCCTGTCTCTTCCTGTACTTCCATCTTTTACACTGTGGAACAAAGCTATTGATTTGTCCCTGTTAATGAAATGTATTGATTTAGATTTCTCGCCTGATCTTCTTTCCCCTTATCTGACCAACTTGCCTCGTCTTCTTTCTCTACTCGTCCTTCTCCTTGTTCTTTCATCCCTCTTTTCTTCAACTGCTTGATTTCATTTCCACTCATCACGCTTTTATTCCATGCTCATCTCTCCCTTTTATCACTCCTTTCTTTCCTTGTCATTATTCAATCCCTTCTTTCTTGCTCTGCCGTCAATATACTCCCATTTATCATCCGTTGTTATTTCTCCCTCTACTATTTCTCTCCTCTCCCCCCCCCCCCCCCCCCCCCCTTCCTGTTTGTTCTTGCTCTTCCTCTCAGATCTGATCAAAGGCAGGCTGTACTGGGTCGACTCGAAGCTGCACATGCTCTGTAGCGTGGATCTGAACGGAGACAACAGGAAGAAAGTGCTCCAGTCTTCAGAGTACCTGGCTCATCCCTTTGCGCTCACTGTTTTTGAGGTACTGCGGCTGTTCTAATTTGTCTGCAACACTCTTTATCCGCTCTGACAATAGCAGGGACACACTAAGCTGAATATATTACTGATTGGAACAAGTTGGACGGCATCTCTTTCAGACTCGGTCAGTTTGGGTTGACAGTCTGGAAATGATCCACCTGTGGTGTCTATCATTTACAATTATATTCAATGTGTCCTTTTAACGACTCAAATCAGCAAAGTCATTTTAGAAATGACATCAAATTGGAGTTACAGGGTCCCACGATTGAATAAAGTTAGACTGAAGCACTCTTTGGTGCACCGGCCAATCCTTAAATTCAATGCAGAGCTAAATCCCAGGTCAAATGTACGCTAGAGGGTCTTGAACGTCCTGTCTTCAGTGATTGTAAAGTGATGTTAAATGCCTGTATTGTGTCTTTAATGTGTCCTCGTGTGTGCCAATGGAGCTGCTGTGACTCAAACAATTCAGACTTGATATGAAGATAAAGTCGTTTTGTAAATAAAGTTGTGACCGATCAAGAGAAGATGTCCGTGTAGTAAAAGTGTACGATGTTTAATGAAGATAAAACAAACCATAACTAAAGCAGGACTGTACGATCCATTAAATACCATTCAACCACAACCAGGTGACAATTACCGTTAACTACAAATGTTTAGTGAAAATGAATGATAATGATTCACTCGGACTAAAGAAGCATTTTGGCTCCTACGATGTATTTTAAACGGTAGCCCTGATCAGGCACATCGTATTACGTGTAGGACGAGCTTTTTCTGCAGATTTACAGCTCACTTAAACTTCACATCACCCAAGCTGACAATTCTTCTCCCTCTCTCATCCAAATAGATTTGTATCCCCACTTTCCTGCAAAGATTTCAGTATAATTAAGAAAGCAAAGCTATTTTGATAAATCTTCTTTTCTGTGAGAGTTCAGTTATACGTAAGCGCTCTTGGTAGTTTCCTAGCAAAGACTCACGTAATTAGTCTTGATGTCGTTCATTGTTTGTCATTGTCCAATATGTGCCCCTTTTGTGCCGGTCAAGACTAACCGTGCATGTGTATGGAAAAAAGTGTGTAGTGCATTTCAATGATCTTAATGTGAACACAAGTTATTCTTCGCATCCTTTCACCCTTTGATTATAGCGTTAAGGAAGCTGTGATTCAGAGTAAAGGCTCAAATTCCGAATAGCTTTGACTTTGCCTTTTTTTTAGTGAGCACAAATAAAGCATGTTCATCTGAAATCAGCACTGAGGGACTGTGACAAGCAGCTCATGTTTTCTATCTGAAACTAAAGTGTCCTAATGGTAGATACAATGATATTTGCATCAGGACTACCTTCCCTATGTAACCTTCGTGAATCATGGACATGTGGCGCTCCGTCTGTCTCTCACCTACACCCACTCGTACACTGCTAACTCGCTTCACACACATTTACATTTATTCACATGCAGGCACATTTGCTCATCTCTGAACGCTCTGTCGTTCACCATTTGTACTGAACCATACACTAACACCATAGCTACATTACTGTGTAAACAAAACCACATTAGCTTTGTCCTTTTACAGCTAAATAAATGTGATCCAACTTATAATCAGTCCATGAAGGGCTTTATATTCAGTGCGCATCACATCCTCTATTGGGAAATGTGTTCTGCTGCACAGGAAGTTCTGTTTTGTGTGTAACATGTGAAGAACAGGATTAACATATCACCTTGAGCAGCGAAATCCTTCAAGGCGGACGAGACCAGAGTGCAGTGCATCTAAATCAGCAGAACGTCAAATTGATTGACGGGTGGTTCTTGTGTGAACGCCACACAGATGGCATTAGGACACAGATGGTTGAATATGTAATGACAAATCCCTCCTTCCCCATTTTGCGCAGTATTTAAGCTCAAACTCCAACACTCGGAATCATCTAGTGCAATGTTTACCAGAACATCAAATATCACATATACACGTTTTCTGTCTCTGTAAAGAATGAATTATTTGTATTGTATCTAAATAATATAGATATTAATACTATAGTTTACTAAAAATGTTGTCCCGTTTCTGATTAGCTGGCAGTCGTCTTTGAAAACGTTGTAGGTTTTAGCTATGAATATGAAAATAAGCTGTTTCCTGTCCTCTCTGCAGGATCGAGTGTTCTGGACGGACGGTGAGAATGAAGCCATCTACTGCGCAAACAAGTTCACTGGCGCTGACGTGGTGACGCTCGCCAGCAACCTGAACGACCCGCAGGACATCATCGTGTACCACGAGCTGATCCAGCTGTCGGGTAAGAAGCTGCTGAGAGCGAAAAGAGAGCTGCAGGGATGACTCTTTAAACCTCAGCACACTTCTGGAAGTCAATGGGTTTTTTGGATAGAAGCCTGAAATAAGATCTATGGTTTTCACAGTTCGTGCTATGAAAGGAAAAAACAGTAACCTTAACTTGGGAATGCCTAAAGCTTCTATGTAGTTGTGAACAAATATATTTGACAAACGTGGCTGAAAAGGTTGCTAAAGACGTTCTCATGTGGCGTGATGACTGGGGTTTATTCTCCTAATTGGACTCTAACTGTAACTGAGACACTGTACACAAAGTACTGGAACATCGCCCTGTGGCTTGTGCTTAATGACTGCAGTCTTATTTGCAGATCTTGTTTCTCCATGGTAACAAGTGTTGCCTTTTACTTCAGGTACTAACTGGTGTGTGGAGAAAGGTGAGAACGGGGGCTGCAGCTACATGTGTCTTCCCGCACCGCAGATCAACAAACACTCTGCCAAATACACGTGTGTGTGCCCCGACGGACAGGAGCTGGCCGCCGACGGGCTACGCTGCAGGCCCGGTGAGTCGCGGTGCTAACACTCCCTTTACTTATTCATGCATGTCATGTTTACGCCCAAACACAAGCACAGATTTGAATCACGCAAGCTGCAATTTCAATAACTGTATTCTCATTATTTTTAATATATTCAAAAATATGCTTTTTCAATAAATCAGTAATTGTTACAAAGGAGGGACTTCTGCATGAGGCCACGCAGGACTCCCAAATGTATCTGCAATTTGCGAGCAACAATTATTTTGAAACTGTATAATGACGTTGACCTTGCAAATTGCCTTTGTGGAATAGACCCCAGGGCTTTTAAAGACAAAACGATTTCTGTTCTAACATCCATGGAAACTGTGCAATATTGAAATATGTAATTGTTATATTGATTCAATTTGTACACACTCTCAATCAGTATGAAGATCTCATCCATGAAACCAAACACTTTTAACTGAAAGTTGCATCGCCGAATGACAAGACTGAATACCAGTGATTCAATAAAGGGGGCAGAAACTAAATTATTCAAAATCATGAAACCCTGCAAGTGTCTACGAGAGAGGGAATACATTTATCAAATCTACATCTGAGATATATTGCGATCACAGAATAGGATACTTTGTGACAATTGTAGTTCTAGTTTAATCCAAACAATCTTGTGCTACTTTAGTTCGATTATGAATAATCCATTGAGAAATAAGATAATATTGACAATATTTCAAGAAAATGAAACATTTCTTGACTTTGAAACGTTAAGAAAGCCTGAGAATGACAGATTTTTAAACTGCCTTAAAATGCACAGCGGTCGGTGGGGATGACCTCATGGGAAACCGTGGGGGGTGTTGTGTCTTGGGAGAGACAAACTAGGACGGTTTAACATGCCAACAGACTGTAAACCTGAAGCTGATGTGCATTTCAATGACACACAAAGGCCGTCCTCTGTGCTTCACCTCCCTTTGCTTACTCAGAGTAAAGGCTTTCACTACGGTCCCCCAAAACTCAGTTCATTGTAAGAAATGTAATTTATTCTAATTCTTTGGGGTTGGTGCAAAACATAAAGAATCATTCACCCCCTCTCTTTTTCCTCTGCTTCTCCGCTGATGGAGCATGTTCACGGAGTGTCAATGTGTTCCCTGTGAGTCTTCATCTGTATCCATGCCAGCCTCTGGCCCAGCTGTCTGTGTGTTAGTCGTGACAGTTGAACAGTTGCTGAGTCAGTTGCTGTTATCATCCAGTTTTTGGTGTCTCTACGGCGAGCCTTATCACCGTCGCTGTTCATATCTCAGCCTTGTCGCCTCCCTCTTCTGTTGAAAGTGTGTGTGGTCTCAGTCTGACAGATAAAGTGTGTGGGTTCTGCTCTGGCACTGAACCAAGCAGCAGAAATGAACAGTGTGAGCTGCCTTCAATTCTGTGGACTCATGAGGTGGAAATGGCTATTGGAATTGAAGATAAGAAGTACTTACTTGATCCCAATTTGGGAAATGTTTGCGTTGCAGCGGCATAAAGGCATTAGAGGAATTAAAAGACTAGACATAAACAATCCAAAATGTAAACATCTCAAATAGAAATAAAACGGCATTAAAACACGTTGAAAATATACATGTTGAAATAGGGCTGCTCGATTATGGCAAAAATCATAATCTCGATTATTTGGGTCAATAATTGAGATCACGATTATTAAAAACGGTTTTCCATTTACTTTGAAAACATCATTTATTGAAAAAAAATGAACAGTATGTTTTTAATAGTTGATTACCCTGAACTGTTAGTATAGTTCAACTGAAAGACCAATAAAATAAATAATTAAAAGAAAAGAAAAAATTATAATGGTTTTATTTCGATTATGTTTTCATAATCGTTGCAAGCCAAAATCGTAATTGCGATTAAAATATGATTAATTGAGCAGCCCTGTTGAAATACAAATGAATCTGCTGACATGCCGAGTTCACTTTTATGTGATGGCTCTCCGCAGTGATTCGCTTTCTGTAGCTAGTCTGGCGCCAAGTTAATAAATGCTGTTCATCCCAAAAATTAGGGCTTTAACCATTTATTTTAAACCCTTAGTTTAAACATTTTCAATTTGTGTGGTCATGTCATTGCAGGAATTCATGGCTTTTAAGAGCAAATGAATGAGCACCTAATACTAAACTTGCTTTCTGTATATAATTAAAAACAAGGGAACAATTGGACGGACACTACTTGTTAAATAATATTACTTCCCATTTGAGATTAAGTGTCATCATGTTCATCAGTCTCTTATTCTTTGCAGTGGAAAAGGTTGCTGGGAAACTCTTAGCCCTCTCTCCGATCTACTCTGCTCCAGTTGTTTTTGTCCTCACCGCCCAGCTCCTTGCTGCGCTGCCACAGATTAGCCTTTTCAAACGTATAGGAACCTGCGGCTGAATTCAGCGCACATACTCTCCTAATTGGACTCAAACTGTAGACATTGTACACAAAGTACTGGAACATCTCCCTGGTAACTCTCCGCACCAGCGTCCTCCTGAATGAAAGTCTGCCTAGTTGGCCTGTTCTCTTCTCTTCTGTACTCTCCCAGTCTCAGTGAGAACCGAGTCCGTTCCCAGAGTTTCTTGACAGTTTGTGCAGGCGGTCCTTCTTTCTATATGGCCCATTTTCATATCTACTTCAACATGGAACAGGCAATTATATTTGAACATTAGTGAAAAGTGTCCCTCAATTCCCCCTTATCTTCGTAAGGCTGCTGCAGTAGCCAATATTCTACCGGAGAAAATGAAACGCACCTTGTTTTAATGTGAATGTTAAGTAGAGCTGAAGAGTTAACCGATGATAGTTTGACCTGAAATAAAGTGTATATAATTATATTCTCTTATGAAGAGGCCCTCTTATGCTTTTGGGGTTTTCATAAACATCCTCCATTTGTATAGTTTGTTATTATGTGAAGCTTCAGGAGGGCTTTGACTTGTGCTGTTTGCACCGTGTTGTCAAACGTTTTATATCTCTACATTATCAAACGTACTTCTTGAAATCATTAGAAGACTCCCCGTGCCGGTCTACTGTAGGTGACTGAGGTTAAGAAATGGAGCCATAATGTTGCTCCACAGAAACGTTACGGCCTCATGGTGAGCGTCCCTGCAGCCTCACTCCTCAGGCTGTGGAGGAGCTGCCTCCAGACGCTTTACAGCCACTGTGAGGACGGACTGTGCTTCTTCCTCTCTGCATCATTGCATGCAATTATGGGTGTTTTTGTTTCTGCAGTGTGTCTGCAAGTGCATGCATGCAGTTCCAGGGAGAGTTTCTGAGCCTGTATATCCATGCAAACTTGTTTCTTGAATCTTTATAAGTGTGTGTGCTTGGGTTGTCTGAGTGTCTTTTTGTGAGTGTTTCAACAACTGTTTACTCCCCTGTCTGTCACTGGTGCCGTTTCAAAGTGAGAATAGTGTGGGAGGGGTTACTGTCACACTGACTGCTCCTCCACCTTCCTCCTAGTTGGGCTGCAGCCAGACCTCCAGCTAACATATTTATCCCATTTTACAGCTGAAACAAACGGGACTGTAGAGCATTGTGCAGTTGCAGCTTTGACCGGCTCTAATCTTGTTAGTGAAAGAAAGTAGTAAGCGATGCTCTTCACTGTAGGTCGAACCCGAAACTACCACAGAGAGATTTATAACCGGCTTTAGATGCAACTGGGGAGTGTTTCTCTTCAGGCTGAAGATGTTGTTGTGGCTCTAGGACTTCACTTGGTTCCACAGTTGGTTTCTTTAAACAAACATAGAGATAAATCATAAACACTTGGTTTTAGAAGGTTTTACAGTTGAAGGTGATCAAGCTCAAGTCTGAATCAGACATGCCAATCACGATCAAAGCCTTTCTTATCCCTTCTATTTAGTACCCTTAGAGTGATACTGGTAATAATAGAGTTCTTCGTTGGATCGTTTTGTACCTTATTCCTTTCCCCGCAGTAGAAGCATCAGGTTGCATTCAGCCGCATTAACCTTATCAGAAGCCACAGGGTACAAAGCTGTATTTTCAAGAATGTTGGCGGCATCAACTCGCTGACCTGCCAACTCCTAAAATACATCACCCACAACTTCAGCCCATCACAGACTGTTAGGCTTGAAGCTGATGCAGTTAGTGGACCATCACAGGTCGCCATAAATCTGTTGCCCTGATTGGATGCTAGCTAAACATACACATTTTCTAGATGTAGCTACATCAATGGCCTTAAGTATTGATACTGAACTGTCTGGTTATGTTATGGTTATGTTGCCTTGTTGGTAATGTAGGTATATATAATGTAGGTATATATAATGTAGGTATATATAATGTAGGTATATATAATGTAGGTATATTAACTGTAGGTATATTTAATGTAGGTATATATATAATGTTAGGTATAGTATAATGTAGGTATATATAATGTAGGTAATATTAATGTAGGTATATATAATGTAGGTCATATATAATGTAGGTATGTATAATGTAGGTATGTATAAGTAGGTATGTATATGTAGGTTATTTAATGTAGGTTATATATATAATGTAGAGGTATAATATTAATGTCAGGTATGTATAAGTGTAGGTATATATAATGTAGTTATATATAATGTAGGTATATATAATTGTAGGTATGTATAATGTAGGTATGTATTAATTGTAGGTATTCTTTAATGTAGGTTATATATATAATGTACGGTACTATTATATAATGTAGGTTATATAGATAATGTAGGTAATATAATGTAGGTTATGTATATAGTAGGTATGTAGAATGTAGGTATGTATAATTTTGTACGGTATATATAATGTAGGTATGTATAATGTAGGTATGTATAATGTAGGTATATTTAATGTAGGTATATATATAATGTAGGTATATATATAATGTAGGTATATATAATGTAGGTATGTATAATGTAGGTATATATAATGTAGGTATGTATAATGTAGGTATGTATAATGTAGGTATGTATAATGTAGGTATGTATAATGTAGGTATGTATAATGTAGGTATGTATAATGTAGGTATGTATAATGTAGGTATATATAATGTAGGTATATATAATGTAGGTATGTATAATGTAGGTATGTATAATGTAGGTATGTATAATGTAGGTATGTATAATGTAGGTATGTATAATGTAGGTATGTATAATGTAGGTATGTATAATGTAGGTATGTATAATGTAGGTATGTATAATGTAGGTATATTTAATGTAGGTATATATAATGTAGGTATATTTAATGTAGGTATATATAATGTAGGTATATATAATGTAGGTATGTATAATGTAGGTGTGTATAATGTAGGTATATATAATGTAGGTGTATATAATGTAGGTGTATATAATGTAGGTGTGTATAATGTAGGTGTGTATAATGTAGGTATGTATAATGTAGGTATGTATAATGTAGGTATGTATAATGTAGGTATGTATAATGTAGGTATATATAATGTAGGTATATATAATGTAGGTATATATAATGTAGGTATATATAATGTAGGTATATATAATGTAGGTATATATAATGTAGGTATATATAATGTAGGTATATATAATGTAGGTGTATATAATGTAGGTATATATAATGTAGGTATATATAATGTAGGTATATATAATGTAGGTATATATAATGTAGGTGTATATAATGTAGGTATATTGGTTCTGCTGAATCGATTTTAATGCTTTTGTCTTTTAAACTGCAATGCTTACTTTGCGGAAACTAAATAATTGCTAATCTTGTGTGATAACTAACTAATTGAATGACTGAAATGATTTACACAGTACTGTTCTAATGATCATCTTTCTGATCACTTGTCTCAGCACTAGTATAATGTCCTGTAGATAACGGCTTCTACTTTGAGTTAGACTGCACCTACCATTATATTGTTTGGCAGTGAGTATGATATGCATTCATTTGCGACTCCCACACAGCAGACCCCAGAGGCCTGTGGTTTCACAGTAGACAAAGCACCACTCCGCTGCCTCTGCATCCATCGACCTGTACATGTTTTATTGCTGCAGCAGCCGTCTGTTCCTGCTGTACAGAAGCTGATGGAGACATTGTGATCGATAGTTAACGGTGGTTTTAGACCTCTGTCTTCTGAATGTCGCCCTCTCACTCTTTCAGCCTTTGTGTGTGTCTGGCTTTAACTGTTGTATCAAACCAGAAAACCACATGCATTGTCCATGTAAATATGCTGCTGTTTGTGTATAATGTCGACAGTGTTATGGAAGTTTGTCTCGTCTCTTTGCTCAGCGTCTGCGGCTTTCTCAGTGAACAAGAAACGGATCCCGCTTTCATCTGTCGAGCATTTATTTACTAGTTTAGTCCCCTGAGATCTGGTCTATTTTCAAAGAAGCCTACTGTGAGTGTGTGCAGTTTAAAACTAGGACAATTTCTGCAGCCTGATCTGTTTTCATGTCGTAAGAATGACTCTTGGCTTTCTGTGACAGACCATTCTGCCAAAGGTCACTCAAAGGATGACGGGGAAGCTCTGATACAACCACCCTCAGGTAAAACCATGCGCTGTTGCCTGCTCTGCTGACTCTCTTTAAAGCATGTTGGGCTTTTTACTAAGCGAATGAACAGGTTTTCTCCTTCCTAACTGTGGATTCTCCACCTTAATTAATCTGTACATCTGTCTTTATGTGTCTGCAGCTTTATGTAGTTTATTTGGCTTTTCTTCTTCCAACATTTACCCTCCAATCAGGCTTTCTGTAACAAAATGAAATGGTAAAATCTCTTCTGTCCACGTTGCCTTACGTTTTTTTTTTAGTTGTTTGTCCTTTAGCTGGTAGCGTTTCTCTAATAATAGCTTCTGTGTTGTCGTTTCATAACGCACTTTCAGATGTGTTTTAGGGCTTAGTGCAGTAAAGATAAACCGATTAAAAGTCTGTTTAAACTTAATTTGTAACACATGGTCAAGTAGCCTGAGGTATTCAAGAGGGTTTCCATCCCAGCCACTGGTCTTTTACTCAGGGCCTGAAAGCTGTGGATTTAAGACTAAACTTCAGTTTGGTACATCTGTAGATGAAGTTAAGCTAATTCATTGTTTCTTTAACACTTAACTTACAACCTGATGCTGTAACTAAATGCTTGCTCAGGCTACATGTGTCCCCTTTTGTGTTGGTTTATGAGATCGTCTCACTGCACAATGTGTGCTTTGTACGCGTTATTATTATCTCAACTCAAATTGTCAGGCTTTGTGCTGTGATCAGAGTATAGCTCTGTTTCCATATTGTGAGTCCAGTACTCTTCAGGCAGCTGTTGTGAGAAGGACAGTCTAATCAAGGAGGCTTCAACCATTCCTCATTAATGATTGACTTTTGTTCATGGTGTTAGCGTCAGTGTGTGCCCAACACCTCTGTGCTTTGTCTGTCTGGAGTTCATACGTCTGGCTCGACCTAAACTGAGTGAGCTAAAGTGTTTGGTAAAAACACTTTAGCTCACTCGGTTTACATTTGATTAGTAAACCTGCATGAAGTGTTTGCTCACTAACGTTGTCCTAATCCTCTTTGTCCAAATGCAGTCGGTGATTGAATTAGAAACGGGAAGCCTAATGAGCGACGCAATGTTTTCTGATGAGTGTTTGCTTCTGATTATAGCTTGTTCTCATGACTAATGTAGTTAGGCCCTCCATTTTAAAAGCTATCCATGTTTCCCAGCTGCACAGGATTTAGTTCAGATCCACCGGCACATAGTGTGGACGTTTTAATCTGCTCTGATACTTTATTGCTGTAGGAGGTAATCTGGATATATATCGTTTACATCAAACATTTCACTATCAGTTTGAAGCACAGCCCGAGAGCACCACCTGGTGGCTGAGAAGAGGAAGTGTCTCGCCATTCATGATAACTGCAAGCTTTTACACTTGCATCGTTAGCTTTAAATGTTTTCTTCATCCATGGAAACTAGAGAAACAAATCGTCTTTCGGCTGTGACCCATGTTGATGACATCATGAGGCTAATAGCAGGAAGAACACGACTTAACAAACCCTGCTTTTTGTCTCTTTGTCCTGAACTCTTTCAGCCGAGCTGTTTGCCAGTCATGTCACTCACTGACACCGAAACACTCCGGCCTGCTGAGACTGCAGGATGTTTGCCTGGGGGGGGGGGGGGAACTTAATTTACTCACTGATGTAACTAGTTTAACGTTTTGGCCACGCTGTCAATATCTTTGAAGGTTGTGAAAATGTCAGCTCCGTTTTACAGCAGCTGACATTATCTCAAAATCAAACGGTTCCCGGTCTGTATCCAGACTTTTATCTATAACGTTTAATGAAAGAATTTAAACATAATCTGGACTTTCAATGGCTTCGATCATTGTGGTGCGGTTTCCCCAGAGACATCACTCCCCTATTTTAGATCATTACTTTGCTAGTGGTGAACAAACGAGCCATCTTCTTGAACCTCAAAGACAAACTCCCCTCTCTCCAGACCCCTCACACCTGTCCCAGTTGAATGGCAGACTAACACAATGTATCGCACAATTTAAAATACACAAGTGTAAGAGATGTCGTACAGAGCAGGAAGAGGTGGAAACCTATTGGTGTGTTGGATTTGAAGTGTTGACCTGTCCCTGTTTTCCAGAAGCCAACGTGAGCACGTCGATCCAGGTGAACTCCACAGCAAGAGGGTCAGCTGCTGCCTGGGCCATACTGCCAGTCTGTGAGTACACACACACACACACACACACACACACACACACACACACACACACACACACACACACACACACACACACACACACACACACACACACACACACACTCACACACACTCGCGTAGGGAGTCTGATGAATCGATTGAACCTTGCTTAATTAGTAATACATGTCTAAAGTTAATACTTTATGTATGCGATCAGTAGACTAAAGTTGGCTTGAAATGTTTCCTTTTTTAAAATAGGGTTGAGTGGGAATTGCTTTAAAAAAAAAATGTTACTCGTAAATAACTTCAGGTTTGTAGGCTGTGTATGACTATTCAAGAACTCTGGACCAATCACGGCTACCACATTAAATGTTGTAAGAACAGTAACGTCAAAGTTTGATGTGAACCTAGATGTGTTGCCAGTTACGTAACTGAATCCACTTTTTAGTCCCGCGAAGATATTCATGGGTTACATACAAACACTCAGATACCCCCTAATGAATGTGTCTGACGGCTGACCTGTGTCCTGCTCAGTGCTGCTGGCGATGGCAGCGGCCGGTGGATACCTGATGTGGAGAAACTGGCAGCTGAGGAACCAGAAGAGCATGAACTTTGACAACCCCGTCTATCTCAAGACTACAGAAGAAGACCTCAACATCGACATCACCCGGCACGGCGCCAACGTGGGTCACACCTACCCTGCGGTAAGTAAACAACCGCTGAGCCTAGGGCATCATGGGTAAAATGGGTCGAGGCTCTATGTACTAATCCCAAAACACACTAATCAATTCATTATTGATAGAGAATAGGTGACCTGGAATCCACTCTATGCGTCACACACAGCAACCCAATAATCACCAAAAGCATTTTGCTCAAAAATAATTAAATACCAAATAATCTGTAAGGTTTCATTGGCGGTTTAATTTCATCCTGACACAGGATGGAGACTTGATGTCAATGACCTTCATCTGCATCATGACCTTGTGGCCTTTACTAATCCTTAGTCTTATTATTGCACTTCTCTTGGGACACAGATTAAAGAGATTAGCCTTAACCGGGCCAGAGGGCACAATATGGACACACACACCTCTCTGCTATTCTCCTCAGTTGCAGCAGGCAGAAAGCAACTGAAGTCAAATGTTGTTTTATATTTCCTGTGCTTTGCAAGTTAAACAAACAAGATATGTGTGAACTTTAGAGACGGTGTTCTCTGTACAGAACCAGCCTAGATGTTTCTCCCTGCCTCCAGTATTGAAACAATGGTTTTACATTTCTTGAATCGGGGTCATACGAGGTTCTTATCCAAAGTCAGTGTATAACGTCACAGTAGCGGTCGGCACGCTCTGAGTTTAGAAAAACAGACCGGAGTACAACAGAAAGCTGAGTAATGCTACAGTGGAACGAGGTAACAGTACATCTTACTTTAGCCACCTAAAAACATCAGTTAAAGTTTACCCTGTGTCATGGATATGTTATTTGAGGAACCTAAGCAGTCATCAATGCGCTCTTTAAAGCAACCGGACTACTTCTGACAAAAAGGACTCTACATGTTCTAAGAGATGAAATGTCTGGTTGGCTTAAAGAGCGCATTGAGACCGGTTCCAGTTACCGCCCAAAAAGACTACTGAACATCAAGGTAATGCAAAGAACATATTCTACATGTAGTTCACACGATGATGCAGCTCCTCCAACATTTAGACAGCCGTCTTCTGTGTGTAGACGATGGATAAGTACCTCGCACCACAAACAAAATCTCTATGAAAACATTTGAATAAGCCGATTGTCTCTGTCGTCCCCTTCCCTCTTCTGTCTCCAGATTTCCATAGTGAGCACAGAGGACGATTTATCATGATCGTCCTCCTCTTCTTTCTTTCCTGCGGCCCGTAGTGTTGCACGACGCAACCTCGTTACCATGCCTACGGTTCCGTCGCAGCAGCCCTTACTGTACGACCACATGCCTTCTGAAGTGCATTATCTTTGGAGAGGATGACTTGAGGAATTGTTATTTATTATGTGAATACTACAATGAATTACGTGTCCATAACTGTTTTTCACTCGTCCATGTGATGAGGATTATTTCCCCTTTTTCGGGTCACTGCTTCCTGATTTTTGCCCCCGCCTTTTTTGAAGGAGGGAATCGGACGCCAAATGATCACGGAGAGAAATGACTGTTCCAACTGACAGGAGGACGCAGGATTTCTCTCTGCTAACAGATCTACTGCTGGACAGGATTTCAAACTGGATCTGAGCTGTCGGTATTAAATGGCGTAATCAAGACACTTTCCATCATATTCTAAGTTGAGCAGAGGGAAAAAGAATCATGGGTGATATTGGTCTAAACTCTTATCCATCAGATGTGTTAATATTTATTTTCCAAGATCATTTTGTTTTTCTTTCCAACTCTTCCTCCTGGAGTGCATTCAGACGAGCTGTTCTTTCTACCAATGTTTATTATAATCATTATAAGTATTATTATATAGGCTTTGTAAGATCACCACAATTACAGCATTTGTAAACATTGTATATATTTACCCATTATCCCTCAAAGACATTACCGTCAATCAGGACTCTCTTCGATGCACTTTGATCAAATGTTCCTCGTGTAAATAAGATTGTATACATTTGACTTGAAATTAATTTTTTGCTATGGTTGGGCATTGTACAAGGGTTAGAGTTCAAATGTATTTAACAAGAAAGAAAAAGCAGGAAAAAAATAACTACTGAATTTGGTAAAACTATTTTGTATGTTTGTGTGCTGTTGCTGTGAACTTTTTCTAGCCTTGTACAGTGAGAGGGGGGGGGGATATTATTAGAGGGTAAACGCTCTGTAACTGTGAAGAAACTGAGAATCACTTGAGAATTAAAACCTAATCCACAACGTTGTTCAAACATGGTGTCTTGGCTTTTCTCGATTGTATGTTTGCGAGGATACTAACTGGAGAGGAGTCTACTCTTCCACAGGTTTTACTGTCCAGTGATGCGAAGAATATACTCTTATCTGGGATAAGACAATATTGTGTTTCTAACTTCAACATGACAATGCCTCAAATCTGATTTCTTCAAAGTGGTGCAGGAATGAGTCCCTAAAACCCAGAAAGGAGTTGGAACAAAATGTGTCATAAAACAAAACTTAATTCCTGCCATATAACGAATCCCATTGGTTTTTGACAAGGGAGCAATAAGATGTTTAACATCGAGCGTCTGTTTAATAATTTAGCTGACATCTCTGTGCATATGAAAGAAACAAATCTTTAGGATCAATGCTAACTTAACTGCTCCTAACAGTACGATGGGTCAAATGCAGAGAAACCATTTCATTACAGTACCTGTACTGTGTAATGACAATAAATGTGCAAAAAAAACAAAGGCAGGATGAGTAATCTGGGACAATCGCAAGGAGTCATGTTAAAGGTCACCTATCGTGCAAAATCCACTTCTTCATGTCTCTTCTACATCAACATGTGTCCCCTCTTCTTCATGTCTCTTCTACATCAACATGTGTCCCCTCTTCTTCATGTCTCTTCTACATCAACATGTGTCCCCTCTTCTTCATGTCTCTTCTACATCAACATGTGTCCCCTCTTCTTCATGTCTCTTCTACATCAACATGTGTCTTCTCTTCTTCATGTCTCTTCTACATCAACATGTGTCCCTCTTCTTCATGTCTCCTCTTCTTCATGTCTCTTCTACATCAACATGTGTCCCTCTTCTTCATGTCTCCTCTTCTTCATGTCTCTTCTACATCAACATGTGTCCCCTCTTCTTCATGTCTCTTCTACATCAACATGTGTCCCTCTTCTTCATGTCTCCTCTTCTTCATGTCTCTTCTACATCATGTGTCCCCTCTTCTTCATGTCTCTTCTACATCAACATGTGTCCCCTCTTCTTCATGTCTCTTCTACATCAACATGTGTCCCCTCTTCTTCATGTCTCTTCTACATCAACATGTGTCCCTCTTCTTCATGTCTCTTCTACATCAACATGTGTCCCCTCTTCTTCACGTCTCTTCTACATCAACATGTGTCCCTCTTCTTCATGTCTCTTCTACATCAACATGTGTCCCTCTTCTTCATGTCTCTTCTACATCAACATGTGTCCCTCTTCATTCATGTCTCTTCTACTCACATGTGTCCCCTCTTCTTCATGTCTCTTCTATGTCCTCTCTACCACTATGTGTCCCCTCTTCTTCATGTCTCTTCTACATCAACATGTGTCCCCTCTTCTTCATGTCTCTTCTACATCAACATGTGTCCCCTCTTCTTCATGTCTCTTCTACATCAACATGTGTCCCCTCTTCTTCATGTCTCTTCTACATCAACATGTGTCCCCTCTTCTTCATGTCTCTTCTACATCAACATGTGTCCCCTCTGTGGAAAGAGACTCTGAAAGTTTCAGGAACAAAGATTCTCTCTCTTTTTGTCCTGATCCATTTCTATAAAAACCTGTCTGAAAATGAGCTGATCAGATTTTGGCCATTTTGTCATAACGATGTTTTGGCTTGTGTAGCATTAGCCAATCACCAACCAAGGCCCCACACACCACCTTATCTGAGACCTATATACTGAAAACAGTATAATAGGGGACCTTTAAGAAATGTGTTAAAGAGACCGTAGCAAAGCTGATAAGTCGTTCGTATTTGTGCGGCTCCGTCTGGTCATTATCCCGTTTAACTGCAGCACGGATTAATCTCCACCTATCAGAGGGACAGAATACGTCAAACGCACACTTGGATTAAGTCAGATGTCAGATGTCAGTTATGAAGGTCTAAGGTTTATAAACAAAGGGCTGTGGGGCCGTGACTGCATATCAACATATGTAATAAACTAGAAACCTAGAAAAGTGTCTATCTAAAATTGAAAACATGACACAAACCAAATGTTACTGAAATGACCCACTCATCTCTAAATGATTGTCATATGTAAAATCCATACACACATTTGACAGGCGTGTGGCGCAGTGGGTTAGTGATAGCAAGTTTGAGTGCCACTGCAGTCAGCATGTCGTTATGTCCCTGGGCAAGACACTTCACCCCAAATTGCGCCTGTGGGGATTGTCCACGGTATTGAGTATGTAAGACACTTTGGACAAAAGCGTCTTACAAGCAACGTAATGTAATGATGGCTGGTGCTTTGCTAGCTTTTCAGTATTGTTTCAAATTAAAAAAACTAAAATAATCCAATCATTATTTGGGGGGGGGTGGAAGTAATGTATTTAATACAATATGGGGAATTTGTAATTTGACAATCTTGTTTCAAAATATGCTTTTTACATCAATACTTGATGTTAATGCTTATTTACCTTAACCCTGAACAACTAAGTAAAACTAGAAAATGCATTTCCTGCAGACAATGCGTGCGAATGCTGTAAACTGTGAACATTTATGGCTGAATTTAGCTGAAAATGCAGAAAAAGTTGAATATGTTATTAGCTGAATGGTAGCTGCTTTTAGCTAAACAAATGCAGAAAAAGCTTAATATTTAAAAGAAAAGGTATAAACAACAACATGTATAGCCTTGATGTCCTGAAATAGCTGAATAATGTAATAGTTGAATGGGTTCTGCAGCTGAAAATAGGCTGAAGGAGTTTAATATCAGATGTAAGTAGTAGTGAATGAATTTGTATTAAGATGAGAAAAGAAAGTAAAAAGGCTAGGGAAACTTTTGAACTAACTTGATGGTGAATGATCTGTTGCCATGGCAACGGCATTTGATGACATCCCATAATACTCTTAGATGTGTTGATGGCTGCATTGTTACCAAACCTGTGAAATGTTGGACCATTTAGAGTATTTTCACTGAAGTTATGAGAAAACCGTGTTTCATGGTGAGCATTGTGTTGCCATGGCAACGGCATTTGACGAAATCTCAAAACTGTCACGTAGATGTCTTCACGGCTGGACTGTTAGCACACATGTGAAGTTTGAGCACTCTTTGAACATTTGCATAGGACTTATAGTGACATCATATTTTATGGCGAGGGATGCGTTTCCATGGAAACGGCATATGGTGAGATCTCAGATTTGGCGTAGAGCTCTTGAGGCATGGACCGGTGATATACAAGTGAAGATTGGGGGACGATTGGACCGTGTCCATTGGACTTACAGCCTCATCGTGTTTCATGGCGAGTGGTCTGTCGCCATGGCGACGACATTTGATGACACCCCATACTACGCTTAGATGCATGAAAAGGCTGAATAGTTTAATATTTGAATGGTTTCTGTAGCCGAAAGTAAGCTGCAGTTATGGAGAGCTAAAGTATTGGCTGATTTGAAGGCTCTTCCCATTGACTTCAATGTAAAAAAAAGAGTTTAAAAAGCTGAATATTTCAAAAGGTATAAAATATTTTGAAAAAGTTGAAGGTTTCCCATCGATTCCTGAACAGGCTGAATAGTTTAATATTTGAATGGTTTCTGTAGCTGAAAATAAGCTGAAGTTATGGAGAGCCAAAGTAAACAGCATTCGCACTAATAACAATTCAGTATTAAAAAAAATGAAGTTGCACGGTTAAATACTTGACAGAATTAATATTGATGGTTTATTTTAGGTGGCTACATTTCGCTTTGCTCCAATGATAATATTTCTCTTGGACCAGTTCTTAATTTGACTAACAATCGGAACTATCATTTAAAGACAATTTATAATATGTTTTTGACTTTAATGACAGTCTATGCCAGGATAGCCAGATGTGTAAAGTTATGAGATGCAGTAAGTGGGAGGAGCGAGAGATCACAAAGAGGATAACACTGTAAGCACCCAGATCAACTCAGTCAGCTGTGCAGCAGGACCACAGTCACTTCCTACCTCATAACCGTGTGTGTGTGTTAGCTGTATGTCTGTTGACATGATTCCTCTGGAAACATGTCCCGTCTATGAATGCCTGGTTACTCATTTGTGCATCTTGTGTGTGTGACCAAGGTTTTGTGCACATGTGCAAGGTGTGTGTCAGGATGTCTCTACAAACAGGTTGATGGATTTTAGGTTTGAAAGACATTGAGCGACATGTTGACCCACATCAGGGCTCGCAGCAGGAGTCTGTACCCCAGCTACAAGCCCGGCGGGGGGGCTCAGGAGCTCCAAGACCAGGCCGACTATCGGGACTTTGTAAAGCCATGGAGCTCCATGCAGGTCAGACACTCCGTCTTTATTTTGAGTTAAATGTTCCTCCATGTATCCCTTGCTTTCTATATAAATATTTGTTTTTGTATTCGGGATTGTGGGAAACGGTATTTTGATCTCTCTGTCTGTACACACAAACAGAAAGATTGACAATAAAGTTGACTTTGTCTTTGATAAATCACATCCCAATGTAATTTACCCGAATAAATGTATATTCAGAAATATAGAACCTCTGTATATTTAAAATGTTCAAAATACAAGAATATCCTGTTATTGACAAGTGATTATGTTTCAAGGTCAACACACTGGTTGGATTAAAGGCTAGCTCTTACCGATATTTGTATTGATCAATGTTGCAGAGCTTCAACATGGCAATCTGAGGACATCAACATGGTCTGTTAATATCCTCTTGTTGGCTGACATTAGATCCTAAAGATATTACATATTCAAAGCTCCAAGAAAAGCAGCAAATGGACACATTTGAGAAGCTAGGAGGAGAGAATATTTTCCTTTTATTATGATCTATTGGATATGAATATTGTGGATTATTATTCACTTAAAAACAACTTGAAAATAAAGAACAGCAGAAAATAAAATACAGAATTTATAACAAAAACAACCAGATACATTTTCCGTCCGTTATTCAACTAATTGGTTAAGTGTAACACGCAGAAATAATCCATAAAGGAAATAAATCCTGCAGATAATGCAGTCAAAGGTCTACAATATGATTATTAGATGTCTTTTTGTTGTTGATTTTATTTTTGTTGTTTAATAACCCAGTGGTTTTTATTCAGTATGTTAAAATAGTTAAATTCTTTCTTGGTTGTATTGTGCTTAGTTTAATCGTTACCTTATTTTCTCACTCACCTTGTTCAAAGCTTAAAGTGCTGCATTCATGAACCTTGGTGTTATTTGTGAAGGAGCTGGGCAGAGATATCTATGATATGTATGCTGAGTATGAAAGTGAGGATGAGGAGGACCGGCTGCCGGTGACTTCCTCCCACTTCCTGCTCTCGCCAACCAAACACTTCAATCTCAACATCAACGTCGGAGGAACGGTAACTTTACTCAACTTCTATCTAACAGTGCTTAGACCAGAATATCGCCTATTAGGAGAAATCGACCCTACTTCCTGCTTGATTTACTAACCCATTTCAGTTTCACAGGAGATTTCCTGTTCATGAAAATTAGTTTTAACATTTAACTCCACCATGCTGAATTGAAGAAGACTTGAAACAACTATCGAGACCATCAATTCATTAGGAATATGTATAGTGAGTTAATAAATCAAATGAGGGTTGTTTTTATATATACTATATATATATTATGTATACTTCTATACAATCAGGCCTATTTTTGCAAACCACGTTTAATGCACTTCCAGATTTACTTCATTTTCAACACCCATATATTTGATACACGAAAAATCATTTGTTTCAAGGACAGTAAAAGGAATATATTTGTTTTTCAGTGACGGTATTATGTAGTTTCAGCTGATAAATGAGAGGCATATTAATGGAGACAGTTGTAATTTCCAAAGGTCATTAATTATGAGGTGTATTTTTCCGGTCTCCATAACCATTTTTAAATGTGTTCCAGTCACACTTTAATTACTTAAATTCTCCTCTTACTTGTCATTATTTAGAGTTTCCTTTCCCCTGATTGTCTCCTGTCTTCCTCTCCTCCAGGTGTACCACGTGCCCTACAGGTTAGCAGCCAAGTATCCAAAGACACGGATCGGGCAGTTGGCCACGTACAAGGACCACAGCAGGAAGTTGGATCTGTGTGACGACTACATCGTGCACAGCAACGAGTTCTTCTTCGACCGGGACCCTCAAATCTTCCACAACATCTTCAACTTCTACAGGTGAAAATAAGATGTATTGTTCAATGAAAGAAGTGAGTTTTCCTCTTCTCAATGGGATCATTATGGACCTGTTCTTCTGTCCTCTCCATCAGAACTGGAGTGTTGTACATTAAAGACGAGCTGTGTCCCCACAACTTCCTGGAGGAGATAAACTACTGGGGCGTCAGAATCAAAAACAGCCATCGCTGCTGCCGCATCTCCTTCGAAGAGAAGCAGGACGAGCTGAACGAGCAACTGAAGATACAGAGAGAGCTGATAGCAGAGGTGGGTTGAGGGTTTTCTTTTTATGTTGAAGGTTTTTTATTTATTTCCATGGATCACCACAATAGGAATGTATTTTCTCAATGAAAAGGAGTGCTTATCACAAGGCCTGTGTTCAACATTGAACCTTCAGACTGTTTGCTAAATACACTGTATTAGCCACAACTCAGATAGAATTAAGCATGCTGTGGGGATGACTGTGAGTTAGCAACGCCCTTGACGAAAAGCAGATTCATTGGCTCTTGAAATATAGAATCTGTGGCAAATAAAAGTTCAAGGCACTTAGAGACTTTGTCCAGCAAGATACTCTCTATAAATGAACACCACTTTATGGTATTTGAAACCAAATTGGAAATGGAAGAGGAAGATTCTAATTGAGTGAACTTTAAAGTGGACCTATCATGCTATATTTGAAACATATATTGTAGGGCCATACCTATATAAAACATGTCTGTGAAGTTTTTTTTTCAAAATACCAAACAGATCATGCATTTTAGCCATGCCTCATTTCGCTCTATTTGCTCTTTTCCAGCCCTGTTTTTGCAAGGGCTGATTCTGCTTTTGTGGCAGACTACAGCGCCACCTACAGGCCTGGCATATGTACTACAGCGTCTCCAGCGCTTTCGAGCGGTCTCTCGTTCCCCTGATAGGTGGAGAGTTGCCTATATAAGCGGAGCACCCCTTTTCTGACGTCAGAAAAATTCAAATAATAATCAGCTCCGTTGCAGCCCCGTTTTTAGAGATTTGGGTACGGAGGAAAAGAGAGGCTTGTGTTTTCTGACACACCGGGGACACATATTCCTGTATAAAAAACGTACAAAAGTGCATTTTGCATGATGGGTCCCCTTTTAAATGGTCAGTTCCTTGTATTAGGAACAGTGTGCAGCTACGATATATATACAGTAGCATGGGGATCTTAAACCTTGTTCATTCAACTTCACGTTACCCTGAATATTCAAGGTTCAAGGCTTTTATTAGTCATACGTACATAGCTTCAGTGTTGTTTTGATGATGAACATCTTAGGTCACAGGCTTCTCCAACAGTGCAACAAAAACATTTGAAAAACAGAGCATACTTGAGGCAGTTCTCAGTGGAACAAAAAATCCCCTCAAAACTAAGTAATAATATTTTGTACACACACATTACTTTTTCTCCCTCCAGTCTCCTTATGTAGTTCTGCAAATACAGATATCAAGAGGTCTCCACCTTCGGGCTGCCGTGGTTCAGCAGTCGATGTTTTGTATTTGAACCTGTGAGATTGAGTTGGCAATCTGCTGGCTGAGTCTGCGTCTGGCTGACCTACATTATAAATCACCGCTCCGCCTCGCCGTCTTGACAGATGGAGAGCAGAGAGTAAGCTTTTTTTCTTGGCACAGGTTCGGACAGATGTTTCTATCACAGAGGTCCCACGTTCATGCAGTTTGCGTAACAGTTTCTCTCCCGTTGTGTTTTCTTGGCTCACGAGTTGGTGTGTTGAATTCCTTCAGTCCTCAATCCAAAGTGTCCTTGGGAAAGACATTGAGACCAAAATGACACCCAAAGGCAGCAGTGTGTGAGCATGTGTAGACAAGCATTAGATAAGAACCTGATAAAACCCTACCATCAGTGTGTGAATGGTAGTGAGTTGTTGTTGGTCTATAAAGCTGGATCTGGACATGTTGTGGTTTTGCCATGGCTTCTTTGTATTTGAACCGAGGATTATTCTTCATTAAAGTCATATTATTGGCTGGAGTTGGCACATTTTCAAAAAGATATTTCCTATTCTCTGACCCGCATGTATTTCTGTCCCTTCCAGATGGAGGAGGAGGAGAACGAGGTGTTATTCGACGGCTTGGTCTTCGGGCCGATGCGGAAGAGTATCTGGAACGTCATGGAGAGGCCGTTCTCCTCCGTCATCGCCAAGCTGATGGGCATCGCCTCCTCCCTTTTCGTGCTCATCTCTCTGGTAACCATGGCGCTCAACACCGTGGAGGAGATGCAGTACAAGGTGTGTGTTTACTGTGTGTGTGTGTGTGTGTGTGTGTGTGTGTGTGTGTGTGTGTGTGTGTGTGGTGTGTGTGTGTGTGGTGTGTGTGTGTGTGTGTGTGTGTGTGTGTGTGTGTGTGTGTGTGTGTGTGTGTGTGTGTGTGTGTGTGTGTGTGTGTGTGTGTGTGTGTGGGTGTGTGTGTGTGTGTGTGTGTGTGTGTGTGTGTGTGTGTGTGTGTGTGTGTGTGTGTGTGTGTGTGTGTGTGTGTGTGTGTGTGTGTGTGTGGTGTGTGTGTGTGTGTGTGTGTGTGTGTGTGTGTGTGTGTGTGTGTGTGTGTGTGTGTGTGTGTGTGTGTGTGATAAAGCAAATGCATTCTGAGCAGGTTAATGAGAGTTGTCAAAGTTTTCTTCGATTGCAGGGCTATATTTATAGATTTAACTGTTTTTAATCCATAAACAAATAAATAAAAAACCAATGTGTAAAAACTATAAAATAATAATACAGAAAAGAAAGATCAGTTAAACAAAACGTGCATTTTAGCGTGTCAGTTAAAATCTTGATATTCTTACAAACCTAAAATGACTAGGAAAGGGTTTAGTTAAGTAATACATCTGATACATTTTTTTAATTTTTTCATAGACTTCTATACAATCAGTCTTTCTTGAAACCAGAGGATTAGATATCCTTTATTTATTTGTTATTAACTATGCCGTTTGAGAGAAATGTGACAAAGTTGTAATCTTGAAAGGTCAATAATTATGAATCGGTTTTTTTTCAGTGTTGATAACCATAAGAGTATTCACAGTATTATTATAATCCAGCGCTATATTCATAGATGTATCTCCTTTTCAAACAAATAGAAGCAGTTCAACAAAAACGGGCATCTTGAATGAAAATCTGGACATTCAAAAAATAATAATTCACAACTTAATTGTAAAATAAAATCATTTACATTAAAGGTCCCCTATTATACTGTTTTTCATCAATATATCACAGGTCTCAGATATATACAAAACATGTCTCTGAAGTGTTTGGCTCCAAACTCCAAACAGATCATTGCAGAATTACCCATAATCCCCTCTGTTTCAGCCCTGTTTCCAAAGTGCTGATTCTCTGTCTGTTACTTGATGAAAATAAGGAGCCTCTCCCCACGCCCCTCTGAGAGACATTTGGTTACAAAGAACACAATGGTGCTCTAGGAGGAGATTCAGGTGATAAACTGGGGGGGGGGTACTTGGTTGGTGATTGGCTAATGGTTACACAAGCCAAAAAATCGTTATGACATCATAAAGTGGCCAAAATCTGATCAGCTCATTTTCAGACAGGTTTTTATAGAAATGGATCAAAAAGAGAGAGAATCTTTTTTCCTGAAACTTCCAGAGTCTCTTTCCACAGAGGGGACACATGTTGATGTAGAAGAGACATGAAGCAGAGGGGACACATGTTGATGTAGAAGAGACATGAAGAAGAGGGGACACATGTTGATGTAGAAGAGACATGAAGAAGAGGGGACACATGTTGATGTAGAAGAGACATGAAGAAGAGGGACACATGTTGATGTAGAAGAGACGTGAAGAAGAGGGGACACATGTTGATGTAGAAGAGACACGAAGAAGAGGGGACACATGTTGATGTAGAAGAGACATGAAGAAGAGGGGACACATGTTGATGTAGAAGAGACACGAAGAAGAGGGGACACATGTTGATGTAGAAGAGACATGAAGAAGAGGGGACACATGTTGATGTAGAAGAGGCATGAAGAAGAGGGGACACATGTTGATGTAGAAGAGACATGAAGAAGAGGGGACACATGTTGATGTAGAAGAGACATGAAGAAGAGGGGACACATGTTGATGTAGAAGAGACATGAAGAAGAGGGGACACATGTTGATGTAGAAGAGGCATGAAGAAGAGGGGACACATGTTGATGTAGAAGAGACATGAAGAAGAGGGGACACATGTTGATGTAGAAGAGACATGAAGAAGAGGGGACACATGTTGATGTAGAAGAGACATGAAGAAGAGGGGACACATGTTGATGTAGAAGAGACATGAAGAAGAGGGGACACATGTTGATGTAGAAGAGACATGAAGAAGAGGGGACACATGTTGATGTAGAAGAGACATGAAGAAGAGGGGACACATGTTGATGTAGAAGAGACATGGAGAAGAGGGGACACATGTTGATGTAGAAGAGACGTGAAGAAGAGGAGACACATGTTGATGTAGAAGAGACATGGAGAAGAGGGGACACATGTTGATGTAGAAGAGACGTGAAGCAGAGGGGACACATGTTGATGTAGAAGAGACATGAAGAAGAGGGGACACATGTTGATGGAGAAGAGACATGGAGAAGAGGGGACACATGTTGATGTAGAAGAGACATGAAGAAGAGGGGACACATGTTGATGTAGAAGAGACATGGAGAAGAGGGGACACATGTTGATGTAGAAGAGACATGAAGAAGAGGGGACACATGTTGATGTAGAAGAGACATGAAGAAGAGGGGACACATGTTGATGAAGAAGAGACATGAAGAAGTGGATTTTGCATAATAGGTGACCTTTAAAACAAACTGTCTAAAACTTGACCTGCTCATTGTTCTTCCAGACGCCGTCGGGCCAGCTCAGCGGCAGAACGTACGGCGAGTACGTGGAGTCGTCCTGCATCTCCTTCTTCACGCTGGAGTACCTGCTTCGCCTGGTGTGCACCCCCGACCTCAAGAGCTTTGCCCGTAGCATGCTGAACACCGTGGACCTGGTGGCCATCCTGCCGCACTACCTGCAGATGGTCCTGGAGTGCTTTGAGGACCACGACACACAGCTGCACTCAGAGGAAGTCCAGACTGTGGGGCGGCTGGGGAAGGTAAAGAGGGGGCTGATGGGAGAGGGGAAGCAGAGGTGGGAAGTAGTACAAATACTTTGTTACTGTAGGCCTACTTAAGTTCATTTTTCTGGTATCAGTACTTTACTCCACTACTTATTTTTCTGACGACTTTTTACTTCTTACATGTTGAACACAAACACCTGTACTTTCTACTTCTTCTTGACTCATCTGTACTTCTACTTCTTACTGTGAACTCAAATACTTGTACTTCTACTTCTCTCATTTTCCAAACAGGCTGGTTCCTTTAGTTTAAATGTGTGTTTGGTGGCGTGATCATTATTCTTTAGAGTCATTGCGTGCCTATTGATTTGAACACGATCCGTGTATCCATCATTTCCTGGTCTTCTCTAAAGAAGAGGGACCAATGGAAACGTTGTCATGTTTGCCGTTGTTCAGCATGGAAACATTCATTAGCTAACAATGACATTATTGTTCTATTAATATAAAGGGAGGTCAGGTACTCTTTAAAACAGCTGCTAGTTATGGGTACTTTTTACTTAAGTACATTTCAAAGCTTCTTTACTTTCACTTGAGTAAAGAAGTTTAGTCAGTACTTCTACTTTTACCAGAGTATTTTTAAACACGAGTATCTGTACTTCTACTTGAGTAAAGGATGTGTGTACTTCTGCCATCTCTGAGGGGAAGATGGGATGTTTGGATTCGTCTCACACAGTTCTTCCTCTGGGGTTTTCTGCAGGTGGGTCAGGTTCTCAGGATCATGCGTCTGATGAGAATCTTCAGGATCTTGAAGCTGGCTCGACACTCGACCGGCCTCAGAGCCTTCGGATTCACACTGAGGCAGTGCTACCAGCAGGTGAGACTGTACATACAGCTTGTGAAAGAAAAGCCATATCTATACATGGATACCAAAAAAAAGAGGAATTCATTTTGTTGTATCTTATAGTATGCACAAAACACACAAAGCTTTGCAAAGGTTCAAAATGCTAGAATATTTTTGCTTAATTTTCATTGCATGTTACGGCTCTGCATGACTTGAGTCCTGTGTCTCGCTGGAAAAGACTACATTACAAATATGTATGTTCATCTTCAGGTTTATATTTGTACTTTGGGATTGTAGCCTTTGCAGAACATGTACATGCTCAAAAACCTATATAACACACTACAGGAAAGGGAAAACTCCAAAAAGCAAATAGGGCCTCTTGACATCTTGAATTTGGATGAACTAAAAACCCTTAATTAGTCTCCTGATTTCGTTAACTCTGCTGAGGACTATGGAATCTATAGGACTTTGACCAAGGTTGTGCTATCCTCAACTTTTGCCAAAAAAAAGAAAATAGCCAATGATGTGAGAAGAGCTCTGCCTTACCATGAAGTTGGGATGCAGCATTTGATTATAAACAAGTGTAGCCAGTATATTTAGATGGATCTTAGACATTATGCCTTAGTTAAGAACGAAAACATTACATTTACGAGGAAATATTAAACAAAACATGTTTCCTTGTTCAGGTGGGCTGCTTGCTGCTCTTCATGGGCATGGGCATCTTCATGTTTTCAGCCATGGTGTACACGGTGGAGCACGACGTTCCCAACACCAACTTCACCTCCATGCCGCACGCATGGTGGTGGGCCGCCGTGAGTCCACACACATAAACACAATGACGTTCAAACAACATGTATTCTATCTGTTGTGTTTGTATGCTGGAGGATTACAATGTTAATCCACTGGGAGGCAGATCAGTGCTCAGTCTTCCCTGACTAACACCATTATCTTCCCGGATGATTTTCCTTATACATAACTCAGGAAGTTACTTTACTGTAAGCATTGAGGTTAGGCGTTACAATATTTTATTTTTGTATTGACTTTATTGGTCCATTCATGTTATTTGTTCAGACTCATTTTTGTACATGCAGTACAATAAAACAAGACAAAGAAACACAGCTTATTGAATGCCTTGAATCACAAATAAAAACATATACATACTTATATATAACTGTTTTGCAATCAGCTTATTATGTGAGTGTTTTATAGTTTTTCTCGTATCCCCCTTTAAAATTATTATTGTTTATTTTATATCTATATATTTTTTCCCTTCGAGTCAGTCTGATATTCCGAATTTGTAGGTTTTTTAGATTATAATTTTTTGATTTGAACTGTAACCCATGCTATTCGTGGTAATACATTCGTTTACACTACCTGTCACTGCCTCACAATAAAAGCCTGTATTTTTATGCTATGGCTTTAGAAAATGTATGAATTAATTTCCGACAGTAACAGCAAAAACTACTAAAGAAAGACTTGGATTACATTTTATTTTTATAGTTCATTTCACAATATAAATTGAAAACACTGAATATCTTGAATATCTTATATTGTGAAATTATGTTTTAAGACTGTTTTCTAAAAAAGACTTTAGGGAATTAGGGAAACAACGTATGACATTTGAAAACATTACACTTATTGTTCTCCCCCAAGATTTTTTTTTTTTTTAAATTAAGGTCACACCAAGGGCAAAACGTCAAAATGGGAAATCCTTGCCCTGAAAATAGAAAACGTATTATAAATAAATATAATAATAATAATAATAATAATACACAACACTTATCGCTTTTCTAAAAACTCAAAGACGCTTCGACAGAGATAACACAACAACAAAAACAAAGAAAAATACAAGAAGAGACAAACAAAAACTGAAGAGAGGGGGGGGGGGGGTCAGAGGTATTGATAAATATATTGACAAGTGAATATATTGCATCGAAAGAAACAGAAAGGTCTTTGGAATAAGAAAGATGAGCATGTCCTCAACATCTCATTCTGTCTTAAGTATTTCCACGTGTTATAATATTGTCTGGTTTTGTCTTTCATCCCCCAGGTGAGTATTTCCACGGTGGGCTACGGCGACATGCTCCCTGAGACCAACCTGGGCCGTATCTTCGCCTTCGCCTGCATCTCCTTTGGCGTCATCCTCAACGGCATGCCCATCTCCATCCTCTACAACAAGTTCTCCGACTATTACACCAAACTCAAGTCCCACGAGTACGCCGCCGTCACCAAGGCCCGCGGGAAGGTGCACTTCGCCAAGAGGGCGGCGAAGAGGTTTCACGACTGCTGCGAGGACGTCGTTCAGCCAAGGAATTCCCATCTGCATACAACAAGGTTTTAGATGTTCACAGTAACATGTGTGGGAGGTCAGGAGTGACAGTCAGAGATGTGAAATGAACCAAAGACTGACTATGGACATGGTCAACATGACGTCATATGTTGGTTTCTAAACTCTCAGTTTGGCATTTTGGCCATCTTGGATTTTTGGAGGCAGTAGTTTGAGAGGCTGGAGCAAAGTGCAACCAAACGCCGGCTGGACAAGACACTATCCTGAAGTGAGAAGACACAGAGACGTAAACATGGGCAACATAGTGGAAGTGGACTGTCAGTCACAATTGAATCCCTAAAGCACTCCCTGCTTTATTAATAAGTTTAACATCATGCTGTATTGAAGAAGACTGAAAACTAGCACGTGAGACCATACACCTGTCAGGAAAAGGTTTACTGTGGAAATAAATCAAATAAGAAGTACGTCATTTTCTCAGAGACTTCTATACAATCAGGCTTATATTTGCATCCAGTGGAGTTGCAACCAGTTGCTGCTTTAAATGAACTGTCTGTGACATTCTGTACAGGCCGTTTTTGTTGCAGAGTAACACTGCTGGATTCATGGCAATTTGAACCAATAACAAGCTGAGAAATCTCCAGATGTCTGGATCTCAGTTCAGAAACCTTTGAGTTCAAAATGCTGCTCCAGGGCATATTTTGTCATTATATGCATCGTTTCATTCATCCTCCATATTTGCTTATTTGTGCTATCTCAGCATGCATTGGCAAAAGGTGATGGAGAAAAACCCTAAATATATTGGTTAATATTTGTATTTATACTCATCATTATACTATTTTTTAAAATACTGGAAATCTATGCTAATGCTGTCTGTATCACAATCATCATCTACCCCCCCCCCCCCCACACACACACACACACACACTCAGTCCATTAGTCCCTAAAGCCCACAAGTAATCCAGGAATCAGGAGTGCATGGCGTGAACGGGTCAGAAATAGATCATAGGTTGAAGAGTGGACATCTGGACGACAGATATTAGACCTGTTTATCTTCCACATGCATCTCTTTAATAATAAACCATGTGTCATACTGAATCCCAAAGCTGTAGGTACTGATTGACTCAATCAGTCGTTTTAGCTGCTGACATATGAACAGTGTTACTTTATGGTTAAAAGCAAAAAGCATTATAAGGTGATCAGGATTTGGTGGAGGTACTCTATAGGAAATGTTGCTTTCTTGCAGAGTAACATTAGCAAATGGCTAGCAGTCATAGCTCAACACTTAATATAAATCCAACAAGAGATAAGCTTAGCACAGAGACTGAAATCATGGCTCTGTTTAAAACGTTTTAAAATAACTCATCACTGTGACATTTGCCAAGAAAGCAACAGGAAGTAAATTCTCCTGACCATTAAATACATAGTCTGGCAAATAACTGCCCTTTAAAACACAGGCATTATTTATGTTCTACCAAACAACAGGTATATAATCTTGATTGGTGAGATCTGCTTGAGGCTTGATTTTGTTACCTGATAAACCAGGCTGTGTTTCACCCTGCTTTCTGGCGTTATGCTAAGCTAATTGCTGCAATTCGTAGTATAATCTAACTCTTGGCAGGAAGGCAAAATGCCATGATATTAATGTGAAGCTATAGCCAGGAGATTATAAAGATTAACTTCCAGGCAAGAAGCACACTCCAGTAAGTGGTTCTCACATCACAAACAACATTACATAATGTGTGTTATCTTTTGACAGAGGTATCAATATTCTTATCAGAAATGGTTACTTACTGCTTTTACGTAAGTGATAGTTAAATACTCAAATGTGAATAATAGTCTTTATTTTCAGAAGATACAATTAAAACACATGATACAAAGAGGACTACAGTACTGGAGCAATACAGACGGATTGTTTTTATTTGTCCTGTTTAACAGATGCTGCTGAAATGTCGGTGCTAAATCCAAAAACAGAATAAAGTTATTTTCACCGCTCTGAGTTTCTATTAACTGTATTTGCCGTTACACTACTGTCAATAAAAAGCCTTCAGCATCCCAAAGGGAATCTTTTATGTGAAAGAAACTGAGTTATTGGGCAAAGTGTGTTTACATTAGATGTATAATGTTGACCTGTTCAATCACCTTCTCAAACATCTTTTATTTCATTATCAACAGATACATTTCCACACAAATTCACGTCCATGTTTCCATCAGGGACATAACAGATCCAGGTCGCATACACCTCCTGAAATCGTTGCCATTTGCAGCTTCAAACGTCTGCAGTCTTGTTTCTCTGCTGCACAGGAAATGATACGATGACATCACCAGTCTGTTTGGAATAAAGTCTCTACTTGTTGAGGTTCTCCAGCAGGATCTCAGCTCCTTTGTTGTTGGCGAGGCTGCTGAGCTCTCCTTTGATGGACTGCAGCGCCTCCTTCACCTCCGCAGCCACAGACTTCTCATAGCTGTTCAGGAGGCTGCAAACAAAACAGGTTTCATTATTTATCCATGTCATGCCTTTGTGTTGCTCACATTATTAATGAAATGTTCCCTATCAACACAGCTGACAGAATGTGGAATGACAAGAAAAATATATGTTTTTTGTTGAGATTTTTTTAAGCGTTTCATTGTTTTGAGCATCACACCTCCACTAATCTCCATGGGGTTGTTATGGCAGAAATCTCACGCTTAAAATAAATAAAATCACAGGACCCTGACAAGTACAGATACTACTAGAGCAGGGGTGGCCAACCCGCGGCTCTCGAGCCGCATGCGGCTCTTTGCCTAGTTTCATGCGGCTCTTCAGTTCATATCGAATTGTATGTGTGAGTTTGGGGGAGAGACACTGACTCCTGACTAGTGTTGCACGGTGTACCGATACTTGAAAGGTATACCCTGCCGTTAAAAACTTTACGATTCCTCCGTTTCATTAGTATCGGTACTTTAAGAGTGACGGGGGAAAGTACTCCGGTGAGAAAGCGCTGTTTTAATAAGAGCCGTGTGTGTTCAGCGCTCTGCTTTCACTCCCTGCACTGCAGCCGTGCCTGCAGTCCCTCCCTCTCAAGCACGCTCTAAGTCCCTCCCCTCTCTCGTGCACGCGGCCACGCGCTAGCTGCCAGAGCATGTGAGAAAACGAGAAGCATGGCTGCAAGTGGGAGTGCAGCTGCTGCTGCGCCTCGGCTTGTTGACAAAAAAGACGCCAGAAGCGACATTTTGATGTATTTGAGCTATATCTCTGACAGTGAGGGCAAGCCACGGACACCACGAGGCCTGTCTGTCAGACATGTATTAATTTGATTTAATACGAATTCTTGTCCTTTATTTTATTTATTGTTCTCATTGTTTAAAAGTTTGTGTTATGGTTCTGGTGTGAAATAAAGCACAATTACATTTAAGACTGTTTCCCTTTTTTTAAGAAAAAGAATCGGAATCGCAATTCTTGACTTGGTATCGAAACCAAAATGTTGGTATCGTGACAACACTACTCCTGACAGTTAAACCTGATATTTAGTAGGTCTGTTAAGTATTAAATGCTGATAATTCTGACGTAATTTGGCCGGTCAAAGTTGTTTGGGCTCGGATAAAATCGCTCCGGCTCTCCCTACGTGTGTATGTGTGGTGTCAGGTGTCAGTATGAGAGGATGACAGGCGTCTAATTTTGATGTGGCCCAAGAGCCAATCACAATAATACCTGCAATGCAGTGAACCAATCACCTTTGAGGGGGGGGAAACCTATCGTTGATTAAACACTATCCAGTGTTTCCCCTACCATTGTCTTGGAGGGGCGCTGCGCCCCGCCAACGGAGCCCCGCGCCCCACATGAAATTCAAGGTGTTATATATATAATTTAAAAAAATATATATATATATATACATAGCACCAAATTGCAAATAATCTATAACTACTGTCACTTTTCACATTGAACATGTGCTCTTTTATTAAATAAACTAAACGCTTTCATCTTAAGTTGTGGGTTTAGTGTTTTTGACCCTAAGAAACACTGATGCATTAATCAATAACAATAATCCACAGCTCCTCTCTCTGCTCCAGAGGATTTAAAAAATATATATCCCAATGCCACAAAAATGCATCAGTGACGTGGTTGAAATCTTGTCTCCAGAAAACTAAAAACTGAAACAATATCAGTGACTATGTGTTTGATGTGGCTCTTTGCAGTAACATAGAAAACATGTGGCTCTTAACCTCTGACTGGTTGGCCACCCCTGTACTAGAGGGACACTTGTGGTTTGGATGAAGTAACCGATGTGTGTGCGCTCTCACTGACCTGCAGAGCACCATGGCTCCTCGGTTGACTTTGACCCAGCTCTTCAGTTTGTCAGTTCCCACTGCGTCCACCAGAATCCTGCTGAAGCGCTCTGAGAGGAAAGAGGGGAGACATGTTTTAGCTCATAATCTTACATTTCTGTTACCCTTGTCTCAAAAACTTCCCCGATTTCAATTTAATTTGGTTAATAAAAAAGAAAACATTTGGGTGCAGTTTTGCAAAGTTAAATGAATGTATGACTTCATGGCCTAGCAGTAGGTGTGTGTGTTTTTACCTTCCTTGCCGGCCTCTGCCAGCGTCATGTCCTGCTCCAGGAGCCACTTCAGCACCAGGTGTCCTGCTGGGTGCTCGGCCATGTGAAGCTGCAGCAGAAACAGGAAGTCAGTGCGAAGAACAGCAGACTTTGTTTTGGAAAGCCATTCATTGTGATGAGAACCTGCATGCTTGCTTCTTCTGATAACCCTCCCCACACACACACACAAACACCCCTACCTGTCCGTCTATCCCCCCTGGAACTAGATCCTGATTGGCCAGCTGAGCCACGGCTGTCATGGCGGGCCGCAGATCCCCGCAGGCCGACGCCAGGATGTCACTGATGGTGACGCTGGACGCCTTGTCTATCACCATGGTGTCGGCGTTGGTACGGAGATGCTCCAGCAGCGGGGGGGAGACGACCTCCAGCAGCTCCTTTCGCCGGACTGCCATGTCCTTTTTACTGATGAGAAGAAAACAAATCTGATGTCACTCCGCTGCAGCGTTTACATCCTTCACTACTGATGTCCTCCCTTCAGGAAGCCGTTTGTTCCCATCAGTATGAATGAGCACTTTCCCTACCATGAGAAGTTTAAATGTTTATTTGGAAGCAGTTGGTGAACTTGCTTGCTAGTTGAAGGATAGACAAATGGAAACTATCCCTTTAAGAGCGGCAGGGGGCATGTGATTGGCTGAAAGGTGAGAAGCTTGAAAATAACTCCACTGTCATAAAAAGTGAAAGCAAATAATGACAAAATGTGTCATGGGATAAAACGTTGTTGGAAAAAATGTAGTTTTTATATTTTATTTAGACATTTGTGATGAGTTACCTGTGTGTGTTCCCGTCTCCTCGCGCCAGCACCTTGATGATCTCCGGCAGCAGGTGAGCGGGGTCTCTGGGGGTCAGCAGGTACAACAGAACCTTCTTACCGTATTTATTACCGATGACCTCATCCAGAGACAACAAGACTTCCTGCACAGGGAAACAGACAAGACTTTTAGATAATAACTACAACCTGATCATATTAGCCTATTAAATCATAGTTGTGTTCATCAAAGCACATGGGCTCAGACTCACAGAGAGCACGGCCTGTTTGACCAGCTTGGTGTCGTCCACACAGTCGAACATGGCCAGAAGAACCAGGTGACCGAACTCTCCCTGTGGACAGAGAACAGACACATCAGGAGTTCAGGTAAGATATTAACTGATGAGTTTAGATATTTATAAATGCAACCTTTTCTCCAAGTAAATACATATAATTACGAGTTGTGTTCTCTAAAATCCAATGAGGCAACACAGGTACAGACAGCTTGTTTCTAAAATGAATGAATGGCATTGAGAACTCACCGTGGCAAACTTCACCATGTAGGTCTTCATAGTTTTG